TTCAATTCTGAAATGATTAATAATAATACTCGTCGCTAATTCACACAGCGACATCTAGTCCCAAGCCAAGTAGAACTTATGAGTACTAGATAGGTGATATAAATACTTATTTTATTATATAGTGTTGTATATACATAATAAACATCCAGACCATTACAAACAACAATACCTACTCATAATTACAAATGTTTGTAAGTAATCGAATCAGCGAATATCGGAACTAAGATGGTGCGCTAAAACGCTAGACCATCGGAGCCTTCAATTAATATGATCAGCCAGTTAAGTATATGGAGCTAAACCTTATCACAACAAACCAATGCGTATGTGGCGAAATATATCGCCTAATACATATATAGCTTATACAAAAAAAAATATTAGAATCTTAGAAATATAGAAAATTCTGCTTGCAAAAATTTTTTATACTAAACACTCGGCACATCGAACTTTGACAAAAAGTGACATGCAACTATCTGGGTTGCAATTTTATTTATGTATGACTACAATAGAGATCGCTAATAATATAAAGTATCACACCCACTCTTCGATGATAAGTTCTCCGCCCATTTTGGTTTTGGAAGCCCAACGCTAAAGTATGAAACTGTAACAATGCGCTGTTTGTACAATGGTAGTTTTATCAAATACTATGATGAAAAATAATATTACTGGAATGAAGATTCATTTATTACTTGTACATAGGTATTTACTACTAGCCACGATTTCGTCTTTGTGGAATTAAATTGTTTATTAAAATAAATAAAATTTCTAAGAAAGTAGTATAACTTATTAGTTATAACATTAGCTACCTGGTAATGAAAGTACCGTCAAAATCGGTTCAGAGATTAGCAAGAACAAACAGATAGTCAAAAAATATTTTATTGATATAAGTACGTACCTATACCTATGTATTTTTATATAAATTTAAAGAAAAGCAGTTAATTTGAAATTACAATCAGCCACTTCTATTTTAGTTATTCGTATCGATGAAGGTACTTAATGCTCTTAATTTATCCTGTAATTTCAGTACCTTATTACCCTTTACCCTTCAACTGAAATACAGCTTACAATGTAAACTATTTGGCGACACTGAAATTGATGATACATAAGTACTACACAAACAACTTTTTGCAAAGTCTATTGTGGTACTAAAATTTAAAAAAATGAGCAAGTTCATATATGATATTTCGTAGCAAGTGGACAAATTCCATATTTAGCTTAGATTAAAGACAAAGCTTGTAAATAATACTATGGATTTTATGATATCCATAGGTACCTATGTATATTAGGCACTTATGAATTATAGTACAATGAAGTTAAACATTAAATCTTAGAATAATATATTATTCCCTTCGACAATATATATACGAACTTCTTTGGGTAGATGAATAAAGCACTTAACAAGAACAAAATACTATCTTCTCTATTAGCTATCTAACAAATCGTGGAGCACATAGCAGATATAGTAAATGTAAATATATCACATGCTATTTTGATTAAACCATAGCTTTTATGGGTATATCATTTTATTATAGATTTAAAAGAATCATTTCCAACGCCATCGGTGATTTGAATTTTGTTACTTTTATATTTATAAAGTAATTGGGTAAACTTATAAAAAACATTATATTAAATATTATCTTAACCTTTCACATAGCCTGTATAATACGATCCCATAAAGTCTTGAAAATCCGTCTCGAGTAAATTGAAATTGGAGGGAGACAGCATGGAAAGAGGCTTTGGAGGTTGTCTTTTGCGCGAAAAGGACGACACTATTTGGAGTGAGAGCTCAATAACGAGGCAGCCAAGGGTTGGCTGTTTCTCTTACAGGCTTGCATACTCGGGGAAGCAATATGTGAAGATTTACGTGTACCTCCCGCCATCTACGGGAATACTTACGAGCAGCCTTATAACGTAACTTGTTTCCATTGATGCTGCATGCTTTCCTTCTATATTAATATATATAGTACCAATATACCTAAACATGACAAATTTATGTATCTCTAAATAGTGAGTAAATATCTACTAATCGAATGTTTTCTATGTTCTATTGTATAAGAAACATAAAATGCACAGAATTCTATTAAGTGCTTAAGCATAAACGTGATACAGTCATTACATAATGTTTACGCACATTCAACTAAAAATGTTCAATAAGGAATTGTAAATTAAACGATCTGCTTATACCTACAATTCATCTTGAATGAATAGATTACAGTCAATCACGAAGTGATGGTGTTAAGGGAGGCGCGAGGCGTCAGGCCGAGCCGAGACGGTGGGGCGCCACTGTCTTGCTAATGAGAATGGATGGCGCTGAATATTGCACACCCATATTCCGCTAGACCTGTCTCTATGGGCTTAAATTACCTACGCTCATTTTGGCCAGTCCTGACTTTACAAACAAGTGATATGATTATATATTGCATATTTTTACAACTTCCTCTATGTAGTAAATACAATAGGAAACACAAAAACTAAAACTGTTATTACCATTTTCCACAGCCATATAGGGACGTCTACTCACTGATCCACCCGTCATGGACACTCAGTAACAGGTCTGTAATAAATGTTGTTACCGTTGTCTACTGGAGAATCAGAGACCTCAAGAAAGAGAGGATTTTTCCAGCTATAAATGGAATGAAAAGTTGTTGTTGTTATGTATCTCTTTTACTGTAATAAATATCCATAGGTACTCAGATGGACTCAGTTTGATTAAGTAATAGAAGAAGCTACATTATGCTTTGCTACGCTGTACTTTTTATCATAATTTATATGAAAAATCTGCTGGATACGGCTAGTTCATATTAAAACCTAGTAAGCCATATTACAATAGTATTTGCGATTATAGTTCTAACTAATAAAAACAAAAACTAATATTCACGTATGAATTCGACTCGCTCGGGACCAATAAGCGGCGCACCAGCCCTTCCCACTTAATCTCCAAGTATCGCTAACAAATTTAATATTTACTCTCACTGACTTATCCTTATAAATCGTTGACAATATTAAAACCACCAGTACATTTTGATTGCTGTATCGTGGGGCACCCCTACTATATCGATGTCTGGTTTAAATTACAAGAGTCAGGACTAACATTTTTTTACGTACAAATTTGATTTTGACCCGGGATTTCATGTGTATTAACTAATTCTGTTGTTTTTGTTTTGAAACAATAGATGAACTTATAATTTTGTTTTTACTATAATTTTAAAATGGTAATGTTAGTCAGTATATAAAATGAACTAATTTCGAGATATTTCTTTAGACAGATATTAGACACACACAACAGTCATTCACATGTCTATTAACATTTACTACTATTATATTTTTAAATTAAATAACCAACATCATTACATAGTATAAAATAATGTCGCTGTCGCTGTATGTCCTATTGTATGCTTAAATCTTTAAAACTACGCAACGGATTTTGAAACAGTTTTTTTAATAGATAGAATGAGTCTAGAGGAAGGTTTATATATACATATAATCCATGTACACCCGTGCGAACTCGGGGCGAGTAGCTAGTTTTAAATAAAAATAAAAATTGTTGTTTCGGTAATGTAAATTGGTACTTTCCGCCTCAGCCTACATTTTGCAGCTAACAAACAAGTAACAACTACACCCTTATTGTATGCGAACCCATGCAAGGATTTGCCAGTAATCCAAACTATATTCATTGTTCTCCAATATTCTGTCCATATACACGACAAAGTATAAACAATGTATATTTTAACTTGAATGACATAACAATTTATTATTTCTTTATCTTTTCATTCTTACAATAATCATCACTTTTATAATATTTCCGTTTCTATAGTTTTTTAAATAAAAGTAAGACAAATTAATATATTATGCATGTTTAAGTGGTAATTCATAAAAACTTTAAATAATTAATTACTACAAACTTACATTATTTAATAATTAAATAATAATTTAATGTGTACTATAATCATTAGATATGATAGACTAGAAACATATAAAAAAGAAATTAAAAAGCCTTTCATTTCCCAAAATAAGAATATTACCTGCAATTTATTAATTATTTATATATTATTATTTCACTATTATTTAATCAAATATTTTTTATTAATAATCATTACATATTTTTGCTTACTTACTCTCATCTACTTTGTAATTAATTATTAGGATGCAATAATTATTATCATTACATTTACATTGCATCAATGTCTCTTTATTTGGGCAACCATTTACGATTATTGGTCTCTTCCAACCTTTTGCGATTGTCCCTTTTTTAGGAAGTCTTGTCCAAGAAACAAATAAATATAATAAAAAACTTCAATGAATAATAAAATATTACATAAACATTAGAGTAGCAACTGAATGTACTTTAAACATACCGAACAATTGGTATTAATAGTAGTTCTATTTAAGAAACTCTGATTAAAAAACCTAACAGTGATCCTGTTAGGTTAACCCTCAGGGATATCAACAATGACAGTGTAATTAAGCGAATAAGGGATGACACCGCAAAGCTACCGTGATGGATCCATTTAATATCGTGCTCTGTTTCGCACCATTCAGATTAGGATAGTAACCCTAGTTTAAATTAAAAATTTAATTTGTTTCAAACTATATTTCTTTATATATAACCTCTGAATATTTTTTACTGGCAAATATTTAATTTTGCTTTCTATTCCAGTTTACGTTAGAATAATTTTACAACACTCAGACAACATATTTTACTGCATCAATTAGTTCTAATAATTTGTTTTGATATCAAAACTATAAAATCCAAATATCTTTTAAAGCGCTATATTTCGGAAATCACGATACTGCAAAATTTTATTGGAACCATAAATATTAAGTAATAACCTTACAAAAAATTTGCTATATCGTTTTTATTTTCAATTGAAATACGAGTACACCTCGCCTTACAAACTAAGTCAAAGTTGTTAGTTATCGTTTAATTGAATATATCTTCTTTGTAAAATTGGGAACATACCATAAATTATTACATCATTATTAAATTGTTAAATGACCAAAATTTAGATATGATTTTAATATTACTCTATAACAAGTTGTACATCTTAATAAGTACAGTGATATTAAAACAATGTTAAAGAACTTCGGACAGACTACTCACTAAAGTTTCAAAATCAGATGTCCGATCAAATTCGAGCGCATTAAGTAAGATGTAACAGCAGGGGTCGTAGGGCGAGGCCGGTCGGAGGGTTCCGCAGGATATTGCCTAATCATTCCTGCCTTCACACCCTACTAACTGCCAGTTGTTTTAGCATTCATCGTTTTATACGCTTCCCGCACCCCGCCACGCCGAGATTGATTCCCCATTGTTGTAAGCGCAAATGATTCACTAAAAAGAGATTTATGTTATCTGTTTAGTGTTAAATGAAAGTAAGCTATGAAAGCGAACTTTAGTATCTATAAAGTACATAAATAAAATAGCAATTTTGTTATGGAAAATTGCTATTTCCAGTATATAAAAAAATTGTAAAACTAAACATAACCAATAATGATAGGCAATCTTGGTGCGTTTCAATTTCTTATATGTAGAATTATGAGTAGGTTCGAACTTGATTACTTTTTGCCGTAAAATATAGTCTTACATCACTATGATGATGATGATGATGATGATGCCAAATACTTAAAAAAAATAATTTAGGAATTATGAATACATATTTTTAGTTTCATATTACGTACTAATTGTTTAGTCTTAAGAAAAAAAAATTACGTTGTACAAATTATTATTCAAAAGTAAAGGTAAACTTTATTGTGATGTAAATAGTATCTCCTCTTCAATCTTATTTACCTAATTGAATTGCTAGGTTAATAATGCGTAAAACAATCCCAAAATCAGAAAAGTTGTGCGCTGCTAAACCCGGGTTGCATTTACGGGTTATTAATTCTGACAAAGTGCTGGTGGTGGCGTGGAAAGGGTTGTTCCACTCAGTTCACTAAAATATTGTGACGTTTTACTTCTAACAGAATTTTTATGTTCATTTATAATTGGCGTAAGATACAAATTATTATTGCCATAAGTTCGGTCATAATGTAATCTGTACTTATAATACATACTAATCGTACATATAAATAAAATTGAAGTGACTGTTTGTAATATTGAAATAAAATAATAATTTTTACTACATGCATATGAATATAAATACGGTACTTATATCAAAATAACATTTAAAAAAAAAATTGTCTGTCTGTCTGTGTTCCGACTAATCTCTGAAATGGCTGGCTGGACTGATTTTGACGGGACTTTTTTTGGTACTTTTATTTTAGAAAAATAAACTTAAATTCCACGCGGACGAAGTCACAGTAACAGCTGGTTATAACTATAAACGTACAATTAAAAGTACTAAGTAAGCGCAGTAAGGTGCAATTTGAAATATAGGTTTGGTTTATTATGTTTTTAGAAGACATGAACTTAATGATATCATGAGTCCAAAGCATCGGCTTCTATGTATGTAGTTTAGCCGTCTAAGATAGTTGATAATAAAATCAAATGCGAAGTTACAAGGTGAATACCGACATTTACCATAGACATGTGTCGGATGACGTACAATTAATTTTCTCCTATTCTGCAATAGATAGTAATGGTCTGTAAATACCAGTGTATTGTGCAATAACATTACAAACCAAATGAAATCGGAAGGAACCCCGAATGGACCCCGACCATTCATCATTCGCTCAATGAGGGTACAACAATCGAACAACAAGCCAACGGCGCATTTGAATCATTGTGTGACGTAATTTTATCAAAAATATATGTTCGGACAATAAGATGAGATGCCGACAAAAGTCGGAAGAGCGGATGCGATTCGCGTCGTCTCGCGGCCAAAATGCAACGGTTTTTATGCAACGTCGGCGACAAAAGAAGTCGCATTGTCGTTATAGGATGTTTCCACCCACAAGTCATCAGGAGCAGCTCATCGGTCATTGCGTAGTACAATCGGAAATAACTCCACGAGCCTTCGGAACTTTTGAACCACTTGTAGATTTTTTATTTTACTCTCTTCTTCTTTCAAAACTATTCAGAAATATGCGTCGTGTACACACACAGGTGTTCAGTGTTTATACAGATTATTATTTGGAATAGATAGTACAGTTTTTATCAGTATCAATTTTTATATGTACAGTCCTAGATCTAGACAACAATAATATTCTAATACTTAAGTAACGTAGAGAATGAAGGAAAGAATGTATATAACTGAGTAGGTATATAACCGTTATAATTATACTTAATATATGGATTATACGAATTTTATTTGTCAAATGTACTTCGTAAATATGGGTATACTACATAATGATTTTCTTTAAAGATTCGGATTGCTTGTCAACATATCAAACCCCTTTGATAGCTCACCTCACGCCCTATAAAATCGGAACACAATTTATAGTGAGTCAACCAATTAATCCTATGGGTTGGATCATTAAGAAAGCATGGCTAAGTTGACACAATCGACGTTGCCAGTGCCATTATGGGACTTTTACTGTTATCGTATATCGTAACGCCGCTCATTGCGCACCGTGTAATTAGTCGACAATGGCTTATTACCATGGTTATTACATTGACTATACAATTAGTCGATACTGTTTCGATTGTCATATACATTGACGAATGTATACTTATACAAATTCAGTTGTATTGAACAAATGCTACGATGGATACCACGGAAAAAGAGTTCAACGTAGTCGTGTTTGCGTGTTCCCCTAATTTTATGATGGGTCAGCAGACAAAAGCAGCACTTTTAACAATGCGATGCGTATGTCAAGATATAACAATTGATTTTTCGGCTTGCCATTTAGCCCTGTGTTATAAACTTATGAGTCAGTGTATATACAATAAAAAAAAACTGAAATCCTTTTGAGTCTATTACTTCCCTATCTAATCATTGTAGTTTGACTATAGGATATAATATTTTTCATTTATTATATCTTTAAGAAAATATTTAATCCGTTTTGCCATAAAATACTACATACAATTTGTTGTCGAAAATACTAACTTTAGTTAAACTGTTATAAAAAGGGATAATTAAAATTTGTATGGAATTAACGAATTAAGAATCATGATTTTTTTCGTCCAATTCAAAGAGTAAACTATCTCAACTCGGTCAGAATAATTGTTAACTTTTTAATAAAAGTTTTAAAAACTACAATGGTAAAGTCGGCATCACATCGGTTACAAGACTTACGCCTTCGTTCAGGCCGAACTAGACTAACAATAGTCGTTTATTCGTCTGCAAAAGGAAGGAAGTGAATAATCTTTATTCGATTAGTAGTGGCTCAGACGGCGAACTACAAAGAGAGAGAGATACAATGAAATGGTACTATTGCGTATTCGGATGAATTAAATAGGTGTATAAGCTAGCAAACATTAAGAAGTTACTTTTTTGTGAAGAGGAAACTATGTCGGAATTTACCTATTTCATATATATAAACTAATAATAATAAAATGTATAAAAGTGAAATAAGTCGCATATGAATAAGATCATACGTATGTGTATAATATGTAGTATTTTTTATATTAACTTAAAGTATACCAAAGCAATTTATAGAAAATATTAACTTACTGAACAAATTTTTATACATATGTACATTAACTCTACCAAATTTCATACTCTTACGACCGCGTAATTTTCTTAAAATGAGTACAAAGGCTTTAGTTCTCGTATAGATAAGCTACTAATTATACATTGTAATTGAGGTAACATCTTCGAACGAACATACGAAACATTGATTTTATACATTCAAAGTAACATATCACAAGAAAGCATCTGCGTGATAAATCAACTAACAAAGCCAGGTAATTGTTTGTAAGTAACGCGGTAAGTAGGCGCCGTCAAACCGCTCGGGTTTCAATGTAAAATGACGTGCTACGAGACCAGGAAGCTAATAGACTTCCCAGCAATGTTAATTAACTACACAGTAACCTAATTGGAAAGGAAAACGATAGATAAACGACCGCAACGTGGAAAGTTCAAGCATAGAGGAATAGTTACATCGATTACTAAACAATGTTTCTGTTTGAACACTCCACTAGACAAATGCATGTAATACCTCTTTGTGGGGATTTTTTCATATTATGATTGACACGGAATGTGTTAAATGTCTATTACATTAACGTAATATACGTACTTAAAACTTTTTATATGTACTACGGCGTAGTAGGTCTACAACGTAATGTTCGCCTGTGACGATAGTAATGCTATGTAATATTATGTTATCTGTGGTAATACGCTCTGCGACAATAAAGCCTGCTACTACGTATGATAATCTATATACTGCTGAATATAAAGTCTTGATATCATCTTATGGGTTATTAATAACATGACTGAAATTAAAGACACTTGTTGCACAAACCAAATATATTGAAGTGACTTCTTAATCGAATTCTAACTCTCATAATTATAGTTAGTTTAAAAGCACTCTATCTGATATTCTGGATACATTGGCTGACATAGACAACCTTTGTCTATTTATTTATTTAATTATGGGTACATAGGATATGTATCCATATTATGTTAGTAAACAACTTATAAACTATGTTAGTAAATTACAATTTATATTCATTGAATTCACGTATTTATATCCATTTCCTCGTACAGAAGCACTGGGTCCGCAGCAGTACATGTCCAATGTCTCTAGACAACATATTTGCTATGGTGTTTAGGAGGCTGTTTGCACTCCCCCCAATTCTACACATCAGTGATGTAGTTCTATTACGCATTATGGCTTCAAAGCCATCTATCCGGGGCCTATGTCAGCCAATCTCAAGCGTAGCAGCCATAGCTGACTTCCTATTTTTATTAAAATTTGTTCAAAGTGAAAAATAAATAAGCATTCTAACTATATGTACATAGGTTTGTCTATTGTACATAGATCACAGTATTCTAATATTGTGTGTCCTATTTAAATTATTGGTATTTTAATTATATACAGTAAAATATTTTTTATATCATTAAAATACCAATATTTCAAACAATAGAGAGGTTTTTTTTAGTCCAGACTGTAATAAAATATTACATTATTCTAAAGGTTCCACTAAAAGTGTCATCATTTTATCGCCATTGTACTACTTAAATATAAAATCCGTTCTCAAAAGAACACAATGATAATTTGTCATCGTAGAATGACTTTAAAAGCACCTGGCCTCACGCGACCCCAAAACGGTATAGGTCTCTATAATGGTTGGTTCGTATCTATATAATTCGCAACGCACCTACTTTGTCAATATGACTGTTTAATTTATATTATGTGATCTTCAAATTTTATTTAAGTAGTTCTTTAAACATTGTGCAGATGTCGGGGCGGGTCGGTGAATAGCAGATGTGCACAGCCCCTACTGTAACCGCGCTCTATACATAACCAGGTAATGCGGAAATATAAGGTATTCATATATTATTGTTTAAATATTAATTTATATACACTTAGAAAGATATCTGTTTCTTCAGAATTGGCGGACGTATCGAGTTTTAGTCACAAAACCAGATGAATTCGGTATCTACTATTTTGTATAATAAAAGTAAAAACTCGAAAACATTAGTATTGCTTAATATTTGGGAACACACCAATCTCAACATTAATTCGTTTCACTATGAAACTTACTAAAGTTTCATTGAGAAATTAAATTTTAGTAGACTTTTATCACAGACTACAGAATAGCTATATATATGATGATGCAAATATGGTAGACGACTATAAAGATAAATAAACTTTTTTTGTGAACTATTCGATCATTGAAAATAAACAGTTCAAGCAAAGAAAATTTTAAAACATCTTGACTTGACTTGACATTTGTTTACAAAATTACCGGTTTTTCAAAACATTTTACACAAGACATTGTTTTGTTTAAAATGTTTTGTATTGTTAACTGTGTAAAGGATAAAAACAAAAAATGGGAATCTGCCGACAGTGGCGCCACCATTCGTGGTCTACGAATCGACTTCCTGCGTACCGTTTCCCGGCGAAATGGATCGCTTCCGGCTCGTATTTGTCATCTCTTTAACGCATAATACCAAAGAGTAGCTACTATGTTATTTTATTTTTAATACACATTATAAATTTAATAGAAAATTATCTACTTTTACTGATTATTTATTATTATACTCTGAAAATCCATCTCTATATAGATCAATAAATGAAATTTAAATTGTTATAACCCATTATTACTTATTTTACAAAGTAAGCATACACATATATATACATCGTAATATTCTGTCTGAAAATTTAGTTCAGTTGGATATAAAAACAAATAAATTGTAGTTGAAGCGATTGATAACTTTAAATACTCTTTTTGTTGACTTTGCTATAACGATCTGTAAAGGTTTCATAAAGTTAGGACAAACTCTCCCGTCATGTGGAGATCAAAGCATCATAAAAAAAATACGTAAAGGTATCTAAGGTATCTAATAAAACCGGCGACATAGCGGTTTATGTTTTTCTATTGGTTGCTTTGCGTGTCAGGAAATAATTAATAATAGGAAACCAATTTGCAATTACCAGTATTTAAAATTACCTTCAAAAGATTTTAATTCAACAGTACTTTTTTTGTGTCAGTACTACTACGTGCTGTTTGCCAGCTGTAAACCTATTTTAATTATAGCAGAGGCGGTCTAGTACGCTAAGCTAGTTTTCTAATTTAAAATAAACTATTATGTGTGACTGACAGTAGGACATATTAATTATTTTAAAATGAGTATAACCTTATTTTTTAAAATTCAGAATAATTGATAATGTTAAATAAATCTTATTTATATAATTTTTTTATCGATATTTTGTGGTATCCATAGTTTTTAGTTTCCATTTTCGCCTTACGGGCTCATAATCCGTTTGTTACAAACAAGCACATCGTTACTGACTCGCGGCGTATCTTTGCCGCGTTTAATAAATTATATGAGGGCTGCACCCTTACAACCGCCATCGTATCTCTATAAAGAGCATTCTCAGGTCATTTGTAATGAACCTTGCATTTTCAATCTGCAATAGTTTTAATACTTGCTGAATCTCGTATTGTTTGAATGATGAAAAAAATTAATGAATTCTGTGTTTTTGGACTAAAATTGGCAAAGAGCTTATACTCACCTGTAGGAAAATAGTAGATATCGCCTAATATATATGTATTGTGATACCATGCCAGTACTGTTCTTGCGGACAACGATGTTATGACTCCACAGCAATACGCAAGTGACTAATGTATTTTATGTTTAAAACATGTTTTAATGGACTATCTAACAGTTGGTGAACTTTAAAAAACAAAAATAATGGACCCGTAAATCTACGCAATGGAAAGTTGAGGATATTATGCGTAGGTAATTGTGAGAACTGATTGCATAATTAGCGCGACGAGTCACGGGGGCGCGGGAAAACGTCACCCTCTTTTTTTATCACACCCGTGGGACCTTTTAATTACTTATGTTTATTTTAGGAATGTTTTTCTACTATCAAGTTACGTGTTTGATTGTTTTATTTTAGGAAGATTGAACACACAGGTATCTATATTCTAGGTAACAGTTTTGGCACGTATGCTGAGTTGTGTAAAAAGTGAATACCTAGTACTTAATTACGATAACACATACATTATATAAATATATAATGTGATTTGTTAATGAGGAAAGTGTTTTATAAATTCAAAACTTTATCTCGATATAGGGATAATTATTATTACAAATAATCTGAACATCCGTGCCGTTTTCAGAAAGACACCCGTCTTCACTGTCTGTTCTGCTGTCCTCAGCCGTAGCAAAATTGTCCCGCTTTGTAAATTTCGGAAAGTCTATAAAGAAGTAAAAAAGGAAAAATGAGACTCTAGCAAAGTGAACAATAGCATGAGAAAAATACAATTAAGTGATTTCGTTACTGATTATGTTCAAAGTAGCATGGCTATAATGTAGGCATTTTATATGTATAGATTTACCACAACATATAATAAAAAAAAGTATGAGTGCATATATCTAACTATATAAATGTATCATAAATTATTACACTCTGATAGGTTATTCGAAAAGTCATAATAATTAACATAGAATAAGAAATAGAAAATCATGATAATATTTTGAGCTTGCTGCTAAGCAATAATACATATTGACCGTGGCTCTACGTATTATTGTTTAGCAGCATAAGTATTTACCTACCTTCGTCCTAAGTACCTAAAATATCTTTAATGATACTTAGCATTGTATGAAAGATATTGTGTAGCAAAACAATGTGAGTGCATCAATTTATTTCAATTTACACGATTGTATTGTTTTGTTGGGCGAGGGCGGCGTTCCCGCGCTTCCGGATGTAGCTTCCGACACGAGCGCGACGCGTGCCGCCATCTTTGAATTACACCCTACAACAAATGCCGTTTGTTGCTAAAATGAAAAACAAACCCCACTTCACGGATAAATCAACTATGATTTCCAACCTTATTTAATAATGTTATTAGATACTTTTTATCTAAATGTAGGCGTAGTGACATACGTTTTTTTATGCTTGTTTAAAAGCATAATTGTTTTATCTATTGCGTTAATGTTGTTTAATAATTATCAGAAACATGTTTCGTGTGGTGAACGTATACGGCCTATATAATTTAAAGTAAAAGTCACGTCAGCAACTGGAATTATGTACACAGATTAGGTTATTAAATAAATTATACCTTTTATTTTACCAAAGGTATATACATTAAATCGATTTCAAAATGGAGGTGATTCTCAATTTGATTTCTTTTTTTATTATTATGATGATTCTTTCACATTTTTTTTACACAAATTTTTATAATTATTATTCTTTCTTTCGAAATTTTAAATAAGTACACCTTCTATGCCCATCTTTTAAATATGTTTATGGAAGTGAGTATTTAGTAAAAATGACGTGATAAGAACTGGCTGTACTACGAAGAATCCATTTATTTACTTATTATAAATTAAGCAATAATAAGTACGTCACGATATTACAGTAAATATACAATTGCAAACATTAAACTCAAACAATATTTGACCTTACGGAAAACAATTATAGCAGCCATTACCGTAACAAATAGAGCAAACATTGATGTGAGAATGCCAAACGAGCTGGCAACGGCAATGTTACTTGGGCCAACAGGGGCAGACGTCGGTCGTGTGTCATAGCAAACATTTGCCTTGGCGCACCCCGTGTACTCTTTATTGGTGTATTTGTTTACTAACTGGAATCATGATTCTGACTTCTCATGTAACGATAATTGAAAATTTTAATCTACTTTAGAACAATACATTTCCAGTGTAATATGGTAACGAAAAATAAACATGTTTCAGTTTGTACCTAATTGGAAATGTTTGGGGAAAAGATTGTCTTACAATTTACAACAATAAAATGCTGCCCATCTATACAAAAGTAAATCTATCATGTATACAAAAATATGAGGGTAGGTATCTACCTACCCTCATATATGTAAAACAATAGTAATTATGTGTACTATATTGCATTTTAATCTAAAATATAACATTAATGGAATATAGCCATATATAGTCAAAGGTCAAATAGAGAAAAATATTCTAAAATATAAAAATATTTTAAGGCATAAATTTGCTACGCCTTCGTTACATTTATTTGCTTATACCTAGAAATAAATGTAACGAAGACCTAACTATTTATCAGATGGTATGATCGACCGGATGCGCTCAGTGAATTACTGATGAAGTACGCCTGTATAGCGGCACATTACGCTGGGAAACTTTTGTATAACAATAGATAATGTTACTATTCGTATGCGAAAAGTCCCATACGGAAGTGGCAGAACGCTCACGTCTTCAGCGAAGCCGTACAACTTTTCTATTGTAGCGCCATCTACACTGTCCAATCCACTGACGTGTTTCCGGCTTCTCTTCAAAGAGTCTTGAGTTGTCAGCTCGAGGAGACTACAAGAAGTTTTCTTGAGGGGCTTTTTATTAATACGATTCTTTGAAGATTTATTTGCCTTCCGTAGAAGTCACGGAAGTACTATGAGATGCGTGATAATTTATTTGTAACTATTCTTTATCATCAAAATTGTTGTACTAGACGTAATTCAGCTTCTATTGTACTACATTTAATTTATCTATTAATTAAAACGGGGCCACTTTCTTCGTATATTAAGAATTAATGATACAAATGATCATTTTGATTAATATGAGAGATTATATAGACATGTTTATTTGCGGTAGCCTACTTGAGTGTTTAGGCCATGGTCAACGGTGAGTGTAAACGTGGTCTGACCCAATTTACTCTCGAGTATTAGACTCGATTATTTTGTATTTAATAAATGTGCTTAGGTGCTCAAGAATATCTATCATAATAATAATAAACTGAGATAATTTTCAGCGCCACCTAATCCCAAGCTAAGCAGAACTTGTGTTATGCGTAATAGACAACTAACAGAATTACTTAGCTATTTTTTTTATAAATATGTACATAATATACATACAAAACACCCAGACTAATAGACTAGACAAACAAGCATACTCATGAATACAAATGTTTGCATAGCGCGAGGATCGAAGCCTCGACTATTTGGAGTAAGGCGGAGTAGGTCGCTATACCACTTAATGTATACTTGTATATAAAATTGTTATTCTTATAATTTAGTTCTATTATATCCAATTAATTATAAAATGAATTGTAATACTTATAACATAAACAATATCAATTTGGAGGACGGTGTACTAACTTAAGGCCAGTGTTTTAATTTAACCAGTTTTTACTGTAAAATATCTGAATTTAGTGGAATATTTGAAGCCAAGTCAATTTAATTGCGATAACTCCCTCCGATATAAACCCCGTCCAATTCAAACGACGATCGAAATTACGACGGCATGAGCCGAGTTTCGAACCCGTAGCGGCGCCCTCAGACTAAAGTCGTATCCGGCAAGCGAGAGTTGACCTTTAGCCGCTCCTTAAGTCTTTCGGCGGGTTTAGAGTGCTATCTGCACTCGCCTCCTATAGTCTGGTGAAGCTGTAAAATCAAACTGCGGCTAACAGTATTAGGCCCGAAAAAAAATACACTTAATAAATATAGGTATCTATTTAGTTCGTACGTCGTCGTAAATAATTTAGGTTTTAATGTTTTGTACATATTTGCTATAAGAGCATAATATATGGGTTATTGGAAAAGCACCTTCATCTTCAGTTACAACTGAAGATATGGTATAACCATATGTGACGATTTGTGTAGGAAATATTTTCTATTAAACTACTTACTATGTAAATGCGGCATTAACAACCGCCTGTAGGCGGGCACTATTCGTAGCAAGGTCGTATGATATTGTATTACAACTCATCGCCATTTATCCTAGACCTTTCATGTTTCTCATCTCTTCTATTATTAGACTGGGCGAAGGAGATACAAAGAAATCCATAGAGGTCGAGATATTCTGGTGAGTATACATAGAGATAGCAGTTGTGTATTGTTCGCTTACGTATGTATATCGACACGCGTCATCCTACCCCGGTTAAACAGATGCTTTTTATTATGTGTTATTAAAAATCACGTGTCATGATTAAAACTCTTTTGTAATAGTAGAAGTAGTATATACTCGTACAATTTGTAATGTGCATGTTGTGGAATAAATATTGATTTGAAAGTAACGTAACATTCCATACAGATAATATTTACTTTAAAACTTTTAATAAATAATAATGTCTATGCCCAAAATCTAGTTTAATAATATCTCAGGACAGTTCATACAGCTCATCCAGTTCCAAGCTAAGCAGAGCTTGTGTTATGGGTAGATACTAGACAACTGATAGAAATATAAAGATACTTCTTTTAAATACATGCATAAGATACATACGATACAATCAGAAAATCATACCCACGAATACAATGTTTATACCGTGCTAGGAATCAATTTTAGATTCTTTTTCTCTATAACATGTGAATAAATTTCTAATGAACCGGAAAATTTTACTAATATAACTAATGTCCGATATTCTTTTGTACGAAGTATACTTACAAAATATGGTCGTACACAAATTGTTGTCACACATAATTATGCCAAATATTATACCTATTTCCTGGTCGAAGCGACTCTTCTTAAATAGTGAACATTGATATACGATTGTACTGTAATAACGGCGGTGACTGACAGCATACAAGTGTTATAAATTACTATTGCACTAAAAGTATTGTTGTTCGGTTGATATGCACATCATGGTACTCTGCCAATTTTGACTTCAACTATTTGCCTTAAGCATAAATATATGAGTGCATCTGTGTAATGTAAGTGCGAGTACTGTTAGTTTCCTTGTTCTTTCAATATAAGGGGTGGCAGTCTGATATCTTGTTATCTAAATTTAGGAGCATTAATAGTTGTTTTATTTTTAAGCAGCACATTTATTAGTATTAAATATTTAACCTCTTAAGAAAAAACTACTTTGAACGTGTTCATCACACATGGCTAGAGCATTCATTCATTCTCTTCATTTGACCAATATTACTCAACTATAAGCAAGAGTCAATATAAGTCAATACAAAACAGTATAAATCCATCGGAAGTTACCTAAACGTATTTTAAACTGGTAAGTACTGCGTTATATTACATATTTACCTGCCCTTTTTCAATTGACAGATGTTGCATTTGCTTGGGTCAGACAAATCTTTTGTACTTCATTCTTGAATGCTGTTGGTAGACAAAGTATGAATAAAATTGATTATACTGCATAGTAAAATAAGTTGGAGGGTATACTATACTGAAAAATACAACAACAGTATTATATACCATATATTGTAAATTGCAAACAAGTCAGACGAAATTTATCAACGATAATTACCTCCCTTATGGCGGGTCTTATTTTATTTCTCCATGGTAATATATTATTCACTATTTGATTTCCTCGTAATTAGCTATCTGTATCAATTTAGATATTACAGTCTAGTTGGCAACCCTGTTCGCATTCATAACCACCATGCACGTAAATCTATGAGCCATGACATTATAAACATGAATCGAGACCGTCATCGCTATATTGATATACACGTGACGAAGTTCACTGTTGTTGCCAAAAACAAACAAAAACACATGGTGCTTTCATTGATTGTCAGATGTTTGGGCTGAAAACAGCGTAAGTACGTAATCCGAATCGTAATCATTCTACGCCGACGTCAATTTGGCGCGCAGCTCTCTAGAAAAATATATCTTAGTATTTTTTGTTGAAATATGCATCAACAAGTAGGTAACTGAATCTCGAACGGATATTATAAAAATAAATCTATGTCTATTTCGGAATATCTCGGCGTGTATCTTGACCTAATACATCTAAGCCAGATTCGTAAAACTAGGAAGTTTTTTTCAGGAATAACGGGTAACTGAAATTGACGGTTTCATTGGTTTAGTTATTTGCACAGAGCTTTACTTCAGACGGTCACGGATTCGATCCTATCACAATACACTTCAAGAGTATATCTTTACTGGTTTGGATATTTTTTTATATATACATACTAAGTATTTCCAATAAAATGTAAGCCATCATTACTCCAGTACCAATAATATCTGTAAGCTCTGCTTATTCTGAATAGATAGCGTTGTGTGAGTAGTCCAGGTATGTTTAGTATTTACTAATTTAATATTCTTTTAACATTTCATACAAAATACAAATGCGGACTCAGAACACATTATGATAAACGTTTTTAAAAAAAATATTAGGTACATCTTGTTTTATACTTTACTAACTTTAAAAATGACGATTTTTTCATACAACCTTACATTTTTCAACCCCTCACGTCTTTTCTCACAGTCAAGACTATCTGTGTACAAAATTTCATTTAAATCTGTTCAGTAGTTTTGGCGTGAAACCGAGACAGACAGATAGACATAAAAAGTTACTTTCGCATTTATAATATGAGTAAGGATTAGTAAAAATATGTATTATGTTATCTGTGGTAAGGATAATACTACCAAAGTTGTAATGTTTTCTATTTGAAATACTTTGTTTATAGTTTTGATAAATATAATTGTAATTAATTTATTCGTAGGGTCCAGGAATTGGGCATAATGTGCATAAATTTAACAACCAATATTGTGTATTGTTTTGTTTACATAAATTATTATTTGGTCTATGCATGCATTTGGTTTAGATTCAACTGCTTTATTGATTGTAAATTTTAAGTTATTGCTATGTTAGTTAAAAAGATAAATCATGTTCACGGAACATCGTAATGTCTGCAACATTGTAAAATGTTTATTTCTTGTGTAGCTATATCATATTGTCAGTAGCTAGTTGTCGTAAATATAAGTTATTACAAATTTGCAAATTATTTTTTTAACGAGTACCTATGTGTTATAAATTTTAAAAAAAGTATTGTTTGAACATTGCATTAAGACAAGAAGACTAGGCATGTGAAATTTGTTTCATAAAAATATTTATTTAATCTTTTTCATATTTCTTTTCCTGTACCTTAGTCTTTTTAATGTTAAAAGTTTATGTGACATTTTACAATTTTTAATGAGTGTCTATATGTATTCGTTAAAAATTGCGAGATCTCTGATTGTATACAGTCTTAAAAATTGAACTCAGCAAATAACTGTATAATACTAAACTGATTCTCGACGTTCAACCATTTGGCTGACATATTTAAAGATAGTGACACTATCTTATCTTTTAATCACTGAAATATTCCAAGATAAATAAGATAAAAACAACCGTGTAGTATCGTATCAATAATCGAAGGATCTAGGGGTCTAGTGAGTCCTCATACCCAACAAAGTCAATCTCCACTTTATCGCGAATTCCATTTCTAAATAATCCAACTTTCATTTGTTACAGACGTAGAATGTAACAAATTATTTACGGCTGGCATTTGGCGATAGTAGGTAAAGCTACGGAAATAATGTTGTATCATCGGAAGTTAGGTCTGGTTTCAGCTCCGTAGGGCTATTTATATAAAATTTGATAATGAGCCAAATTTCAATAATACGTGTTCTTCCAGGGCAACATTTGCACGTGGGAAGTAGAAACAGTGACGAGAGTATTCATTAAAGATTGTACAGACAACACATTACGTTCCCTTTCTTTGTCTAAATCGTCACATATGTTAAAGGAAAACGGGATCTTACCAAGTATCAATTTTAAAAGAAATATTTTTTCCTTGTCCGCCATTGTTGCATTCCTATCATAAATATACTACAGAGGTCGCGCGTCTTCACAAAATTATTTTAGTAAAAGAGACAAACAAGGTCGTTTATCTTTTTTTTACAAAAATACATAACTTATAGTGATGGATCAAACGGTTTTTGTGAAAATCTGTACGCACATTAAAAAGCTTATATTTATAAACATCCGCTCATAAATAAAACATAACCATGTGATTTTCTGAACTTCTAAACAAATATTTGTAGAATATGATAGAGTAATTTCATCTCTTCAATGTTGTATAAAGTATTCGCCAAGATTTTGAAGACTTTTGTTCACAAGTTTTTTGCCTGTAAGATTATGAGACTTAAGAGATAAAGTTACTATTCTCTCTTTCTCTAGATATATATATATATAATAAAGATTCAAAAAGTTGATTACCAATATGTTATGACTAATGATTACTTTGACGTAAATTCTAATATTCATACTACCTATAAAATTCATATCAAGACATCTAATTACCTTATATACACTAATGTCCCTGATTTCTTTCTAAACTAATTTATTCTGTTATAATTTAAAAGCATTTTGCTTATTTAATCATAAAATTGAATGTACCTAATTTCGAGCGAGGAACGAACCCGTGACTATCGGCAGTAAGGCAGTGTGCTAAAACGTTAGACCACCATTATTCAATAAATATAGCACAGTATAGTACAGTCAATTAAAACTCAAATTGTGATCATGTAGCAGAAAAGTAAATGTTAATAAGTACAGTAAATAAACAAATCATACTCAAGAATGTGTTTGAATCACCTGAACTTGAATAATCGCAGGTGGGATGCATTTCTATTTCTGACCGCTCTAAATTTTAGGAGTGTGGGTTTAGTCATTTCAATCTCGTTATTACATTAAAAGTAAATAAATTAGAGAATATAATTAGTTTACAAATTTGTTACATCGCCTGTAATAAATGGATAGCAGAAACAAATATTGTTTGTATGTATCCATACAGTACCGGCCTCAAATCCGCTGACCCCGAAGCTTAAGACCTTAGTACGATTATCCGTGCTGACGAACAATTCTCATAGTTTGGATTTCTGATTTAACACAAATACAGATTGTTAGACCATTACAGATCTAATAAATATAAATAAACAACTAGTTTTTTATATCTTAGATTTATTTTGAGATTTATATGCCCACATAACTATCACTAGTTATGCGGGCCACACCTTTACGATAATTCCGACGATTTCGGAGTAGATTTAAGGCCGTAAATCCCTTATTTATATTAAATGAACGGAGCATCGTAAATCGTAGACGATTAGAAACCGCACTGATGTGACTTTGACATTAGTTTCCATTATATTACAATTAGATTAGTATAGGCAGGAGCAGTTTCCTATTATTTACATTATTTGATTACCTAATATGTAAGTGTTCTATCAGTTCACCACACAAATTGTCTAGTTTTGAACATTAATCAACATTTTCATGTGATAAACACATATGGAAGGTATATAAAAATATAATAGAAATTAAAATATATGCAATAAAATACTTAACTCTTTAAAAATCTAATTTCTACGTAACCCTAATGTTGGCCTTCGACCAAAAGTATCTTGATACTAATTGACGCACTACTAAATTGATCACAACTTATATTTCCCTCTTACCAAAATAGAATCTTGAAAGCCATCTTTAAATGGAAGCCTCAATGAAACAATAACAGGAAGCGAAAGTTATCATTTAATAAGAGAAAGAAGTAGTCTTATTTCTTTTACATACAAATAAGAGTATTATACATAGATATGTAGACAGAGTCTACACGGCTGACAAAGATCTCCACACACTAAAAATCTTTAAAAACATGATTTTTATTATTAACGTGCCTGTTATTTTAATGTTCGATTGGAACCCGAACATTCCAAGATGTAAAACAACAACCCACACAAATGTTGAATTTTTTAAATCAATGTTTGGATCAACAACGCTATCCCGTAGTACATACTGAAATAAACACAATTTAATACAGTTTTATAAATAATCATGAATGAATGGTCATTTATTGTAAATATTGAGGTTCAATTATAACCGGCAATTTATGGTAAACAAATAATACACTCCAGGAAAGTTGGTTTGACGCCATTAAAAACTTGCTGGTTGATGGCATTCAGAAGAAGCATGTGAAGATCTTGACAGTTCCAAATGAAAGAGAAATAGGTTCTAAAAGGTCGGAATTCTTAGATATAAGTGATCAAGCAAGAATAATAATTTATGGAGTATATAGGTATTATACCGGGTAGCAAGCTATTAATATACAATATTGATGATGACATAAATAAAAGTGCGAGTGCAAAAGTCTGGATATATTCACGGAGCAGTAAAGCACGTTAAATTGTAAAACATGAACAAAATCTAATGTTTATTGAATACTAGGGCGGGCGGGCGACGGGCGGCGACGCAACGGCGGCGGAGGTGGGCGGGCGGACGGCTGCCACGCGTGCTTACGACGGCCAGTGCGCGCCCGCCCCGGTCCGACACTCGACGTCGGCTCGTCTACGAAACAACACTACACTATTATTATACGACCAATATTTTAATCGGTAAGAAAATCAGTGCTCTAAACTTATGACCCAAAGGGCTATCAGGGTTGTGCCAAAAGTGTGTCACATCGGCGCGCGCGTTTCGAGCGACCCCTGTGCGTAGCGCTGTCCCTCTCTGTATTGCGCAATCGTATCGTTGTCTCACTCGACTAGTCTTGACTAGTGGTTTGAAAATTTAGTTGGCATTTTCGCGCGTGTTTAATCGACATAAGCTGACATCTTAACTGGGTAATTTTGGTTCAACTGCACGTAAGTTAAATATTATGTTTTAGTGTGCTATATGTAAACTATTGGTGAATTAAAGTCAAAATCAAATTAAAACTATTTGGTTGAGAAAACGAAACATTTTTTAATATAGTTATTTAAACAATAGAAATCTCTTGATGGTCCTTTTTTATAAATTATTGTAGCCGTTCTAATTAATGTTTATTTATGAGATATCTCCTACTGATATCTACTACTCATATTTAAGTATATGCAAAAGAATCAAATTTTTATATTTGAATTACTATTAATATGTAGGTATGTGTATTACTTTCAAAACTGTAGTTCAAGGCATCTTTATGGTGTTTAAAAGATATTAATCGTTGTTTATCGTTTGAACGGTGGAGTCATCACGTCATATCAGCATGTCAGACAACACCTGCGAGCGACAATGCGCTGGATCCGGGAATGCTACGAATCTGATCCGCTCCGCCTGCGCGACTATTTTCGGCTCGACTCATCCCGCGCCAAATTTGCAATCCCTCTAAATCGACACGCCTACGTATATTTTTGTTTCAGTTTCGCAATGACACGGTTTTGTAACGTTACGACTAAACGTAATGTCTAGTTCACAGTAATAACTTTTTTATGTTGCACAAAAAGATTATATAAATAGATATAGATAGTATAGCTAGCCACAAAGCATGTGTTTCATGTTGTTATTATTTCAGAATATACAAAGATATCTATGAATTATTGTCGTACATGTAACAGGTACGTACGTACTTATAATAATTTAAGATGTATAAAATATATTTGTAAAGAAGTTACGTAGGTATCACCTACGTGTAATCACTGTAATACATCAATTTCAACAATTATTTATATAGCACAACAAATCTGACATTGGCCTTCAATCTTGACCTAAAATGATATTATAGATATAAAGCCATAAATTTTGACAATGTTTAATAATAGTAGGCCATTCCGCAAACGTTAACATTATTGTAAAATGGATATGAAACAACAGAATAGGAACCCACAACTAGCATATAGTTGGTTTTTGTGACAGTGTGGTGACAATTATAACTTCTCAGTACATACGAATATCTATAGGTACATGAGTTTATTTTATTATGTAATAGTACATTTTGTTATCCGATGATTGACATCAGCCATATTCCTAAACATTTGTAAGTGCGTGCAGTTTGGGCCACACCATTAAGTTGTAAAAATGAGGAGTAATGAATGTCTTCAAAACATTTATTTGTTAAAATAACATTGAACATTTTATATTGGTTTTGAGAACTTCTTCAAATTGTAAATAAATATTTTCAAAAGGTTTTGATTATCTTGTTCAGGGCGTAGAGAGTAAACCATTATACTTTAGATCTAGTTATTAATACATATAGAGCTCTGGAAATATATACATATGTAATATCGTAAATATACAATATAATCTGCAACAACTCTCAATTGCATTTCTGGCGTAATCGTGCCAAACGTTTCTATTTCATTACGAATTGAATCTAACGCTTCGAACCTTGGATACGTTCCTAATGACCGGATTAAACATATCCTCCTTAGCTCTTAACTCGCTTTGCTTAATTCCTTTATATATTTGACGTCTAATCAGTTTGCCCCACTCGTAAATTCCAATTGAGTAAAATATATAGTGTTTATACAAATGTCAATCTTAATTGGAAACTGATAAAACTGCTAGGTATTGGCAGTTCAAATATAACTTTATGACGCAAATCCACGAATACCTAGTATACAAGAACAGAATAAACTTGCAGATCACGTCATTACTCTAAGAAAGTTATTAGGCGTAGGCGATATTTTACAGATAAGAAGAATAATGTTTTCGTAATTTATAATTACATTATGAAATTTCATCTTGTAAACAGGAGTTTCACACATAACTGTTTTTGCGATAGGTATTCGTAGCGCAACATAACAAATGGCATCTAGTCTCACTAGTTCGTTTCAGATTACTGAACAGTTAATTCTCTATCTTTATCTTAAATTTTCAGAAAAACAATTATAATGATTAGAGATTGTAAAAACAATTTAACAGACTACTTGAAACTAGGCAGGCTTTGGATGAGTAATATTTATTACTAGTTTATAGTCGATGTCAAGTACTAAATCAACACTAGTTTATATTTGCATACTTAGCTAAGATTATATAAGAAGAAATCACGGCAAACTGCTCTTTCAGCAGTTTGATGAAATTTGCAAGGTCGTCAGAAACTCGAAAATAGCTGAGCAGTTAGTTAGACATTCGTAAAAATCGCTGTATTCGAGATTCCCTCCGACACCGGCTAAGTTGGCAAGCATCCAAAGAGCTGGCTATTCGACACGACAGCCAGCCACCGAGACGGCTATTTGTGGGCCTGCTACTAACTCTGCATACGTCACTGTTCTATTTACGACTAACGAGCACACTATTGTGTACCTATCTATTATGTCACCTGGAGATAGTTATTGACCATAAAGAATAATAAAATCAAGGTTATTATTATAATGCTTTCGAATTTAGAACAGTACGTATGCAATTGAATTACAAAGTACCGATTCATGAGTAGTTCATGGGTTACCTGTTGTGTATCCACAATATTATATATCTACAGATATATTGTTATTTAGCTATTGTTTTATTACGTCATTCACAATTATACAATAATAACTATAATATATATTTGTTTTAGTTACATTTAAAATAGGACATGTAGTGCAGGTCCCGGTGTAGATTTAAACTTGCGTATGAATAGGTACTTTTCTACGACATGGAAATATGCTTGCATTAAATTTTGTATTTTTGCTATTTTTAATGTTCAGTACAATGATAATAATTTTGTTACAGAACGAGCACGACATAAATAGCCACAATGTTTAAAAGTCATTTAGAAATGATTGGCAGAAACGAGACGCCATCAAAGAAAGCCAGATTTTGGCAATCTTTTGTGCGATCTCTTAAAGGTAAGAAACGTATTATTTACAAGTACAATTAAATTCAATATAAATATTTTAATTAGGTTTACTTAATTGTCAGCACTAATGCTTTAAGATATGTGTTTAAAATTAAGACGAATTTCGTTTCTAGTTATAAAATAAATACAGTCTTAATTTAAGAATCTCTTTTATCACATCAGTAACAGATTCCATAGGAATTTTAAGAAGAAAATTATAATAAATTTCGGTTCTGTAGGATCGGAAGACATCAGAGCCGAGGAGAGGTACAGGCCAACACGTCGCAGCGTGTTCCCTGAGGTGCTGTCGACATATCCATACTCTAAATCCATCTATGACGACCCCGTCGCTGCCGCTGAAAGGATCACTGTCCCAGGATACCGTTACTTGCCAGTGCACCGTGAAGTCTACGGTTACTCCCCTCGTCCCATCTACGCTCACAACTACGCGCGCTCTCTCGATCGGTACAGGCCAGGTCAGTATAATTAAATATATCTGATACACATCACTAACCCTTCAACTTGCCAATGAATCTTGACTTATTTAACTTTTTATTGCTATAATTATTTCTGTATTTCAATTATTATTAATGAGTCGCATACATAGACACTCGTATATGTATTGTCAAAAGTTGATTGGCAAGTGCTGTAAGAATATTTGATAAGCCTCTATTTCAGCACACAAAACATTTGAAGTTTTATTATCTTTGGAAATTATCATTTATGTTCATTACATACTTATTTAACTCTTTAATATTATAATATTTGTATATATTTTTAAATTGAAACATCTCATATTTGTACAAAATGGTTGGTTAATTAACATGACTAGCTTTATTGCTTTGTCACTTAATTTGATTTTACAGTTAGGTCTGTAATCACCATTACCTCATATTATAACAATACATTGGCACTGTATAGGTATTTCGATTGTTTCAGCACCAAAGGTCACCGGAAGAGTTTAAATCATATTGCTCGACATCTAATGCCGCAATAATTAAATTATTGTCTAATCGAACTCTCATTGTTAGGGTCAAGTGATTGTTTCTCTCGAAGCAGTTGTAAAAATATTTAAATGCCTACATTCTATCTTTACGGGCTATATTAAAAATGTTAATATTTAACTTTGTATTAATTTTTTTAATTTTAAATAAATATTAAAATATAATAAAGTTTCTGTGAATCCTGTCACAAGCTCGGAGATTCCATGAGATGAATCGATTTAACATTTACATGGCAATACACACAACCACAAACCAATTATTTAGTCAATATTTATATTTTAGTCAATATTTTTTATTTTAGTTGAACACATTCATGTTCATGATCGATACGTTTTCCTCGTGTTACATTTATGTAGATGTACATACATTATTAGGAATACATCTCTTAAAAATATTGTAAAACGAAATTTCTTTTATTATCATGTCTCGAAAGTGCATAGTAAAACATTGGTGATCGTCTCGATGTTGTCGCTTCTGTGAACTTAAACGTCTATCTGTATCTAAATCATACTACATACCTAGAATATATAATGTTGCTTGTGCAAGTCCAACTTATTCTATATATTCATCGCTAATATTGTAATCGCATGTATCATTCAATAGAAGTCACCTCTTATACATAACAGCACTTCACACTGTTAAACCCATGGATGTTACATCGATTTCATTGTTTACATCTTAGTTTATCAAAAAATCTTCTAGCATTTGTCAGGTGACACATTATTTATTTCCCCGTGATATATTTATTATATATATCCCACTATACTTTATCCAGTCTTCTCAGGAAATTAAGAGGTGAGTTCTATAAGTCGCTTTGTTATATGTATGTTATGGCCAGATCGCAGTATTGATCAAGGAATAGTCTACCATATCATGAAATGGTTGCATAGTATATTACACTATTTAATAATAAGTAAGGTCTCTTCTACTCTAATCAGGTTTATTTTATAATATGTGATGATACTGAATACTATGATCAGGCCAAAACATAATGCACCCTTACTTATAAAAATCATGCTACTTGGTATACCCTAGATTTCGTAGATTGATTAGCAACCAAACAGAGTTATAAGTAAGGGGAGTAGTTTTTCTAACATCATTATCATTCTGAATAACGCTTAAGCTCAGCAAAGTAATCATACACTAATCAATGTTTATTTATTTTTTGTATTACAGTAGACTACTTAGTTAACTCTCATTAATGCACTCTTATATGTCCATACAGAAATGGTAGAAAGTTACAATCTATATCTTATCTTTATTCTTATATCTTTCCTAAAACTATTCCTCTTTTACAATTATTTTTACTGATACATTTAGTGACGTAAACTGTATTGCAATATTGATATATGTATCTATTACCTTTTTATTCTTCTAGTCAAAGGGTTCCACAGACGAACCTACCCTTTTTTTAATTGTAATACGTTTTAATGATGTTATTTTTTATCAATAGTATACCATGTACCGAGACGTGTACGACGGGGAGTGGATCCCTTTGACGCACACAAGGCCTGGCAGGATCATCTGGACAGACTAGCCGCTATTGACAGACTTTACCCGTCTCGCTATGGGCTCTATCTGAAGGACCGGGCGTACCCTATCACCGACCTCAACGCTCCCATCATAGATCGCCTCCAGCCCAAGAGCCTAAAAGGCATCGAATATGAACCGGACAATAAACCAAACTGGGGAACAGGTAAATACTAACAACACATCTCTGCACGAATAGACTAAGTTAGTTTATAGTGCCGTGATCACCCATTTCGTCTACCATCTTCTGTGGTATCCGGAAATGATAGATAAAAGGTGAATCATGGTAAGAGTGAGTGTTGGCAACAATTACATTATATTTTCCGCATTGTACATATTATACCTATATGTATTCATTGTCATTGACGTACCTAATACTCGATTCTAATTTGTTATATAATTTTTTTTCTTTAAATATTTTAGTCAATACTCACTCTTTAATAATTTAAGAACAACTTAAGTGCGAAATACTTATTTTCATAATAATTTTGATAATATATATATTATATAATATTGTTCAGAGTTAATTAATCTATTACAGATTATTATTATCTACTACAAGTAATTCGTACTTGTCAAATACGTGTTTTAAGAAAATTATAAATTATTCGGACATTACTTACCTATTAGATTCTATTTAAATGGAATCTGATTTGTGTGATCTAAAATAGTCCAAGTAATTAATAGTACATATGATTATATTTTTTAAAAGCTATAAAAAAAGTAAATTTGATATTTTTTATATTTATAAACTTTAACTTCAATTTAAGATCCCAATTTAATTTGTATTTCATATTTATAAGATTACTACACTGTAAAATATTGTAGAATAGACAACATCAAAATTCTAAATTGTACATAAAAATCGAATGTATCAGTTTGGCCTTTGTTTAACGCTAAATAAGTAAATAATAATTTACCTATGTAAACACAATAAACCAAGACATATCATCGAATTTAGATATTTTGTAAAATTAATTGTATCCACCATGAACAAATATTTTTACATACCTTAGATAAAAGAAATACAGCCTTATTCTATCTAATATTTCAATTTTTTACATTATCTAACTTATTAAATATATTTTTGTATTAAAATATAAAAGACCAACTCGTGTTTTGATTTAGTAGCTTAGAACCTGTCTGTTTTTTTATTTTTTTTCTAAAATTTATTAGTTTATTCTGGATGAAGGAACCTCAAATTTTTCATTTATCGTTTTACAACAGCAATGCAAAATTTATTCTCGCACCTGGTGATTTCAGAACATTATGCATGAGCTGCATTGTATATAAGTGTGCGTGCATACCAACATTCATTCTCGAATGTTCACTGCGTATTCATGCTCGTAAGAACACTACACTCAACATAACAACATGATAATAATAATAAGAGAATTCGTCAAAAATATATATCCGTAAAGTATAGGGGTCCCGTTGTGCGTCATATTTTCTATTTGGGATTGCTATTGACTATAAGACTTGCCGTGAAGGAGCGTGGCCGGCGAGGATATCGGACGTGTTCAAAAAGGACCCATTTTTCGCGGAAGCCGAAAAATGGGCAGATTTTGACCGCTCTCTCCGAGGGAAGTCTCCAACACCGGTGAAGCCGAGAATTAGCCCGCCTCGCGACTGCGAGGTGGCTTTTGATGCCGACGGTAAGGGCAACAGACCCCTATATGATATAAAGCACCCTGTATCTTCGTCACGTCCCTTTCTGCATAGGTAACCAGGCTGCACGAAGCTCAGACCCATGTTCCATGTCAAGTGCCCACCTAGCACTGTGTGTTGTATCTACCCTTGTTAAAAGTATGATTATAATTTGAATTCTATTGTTGTAGTTATAGTGCCTTTATCCACTTTGAATTCCGATACTTGTAGAGTTGAGCGTGAATGGGAATTTAAGACATCTTTATTCACAATATCTATATTTCCACGTAGGTCGTATAACATTGTGACTGAAATTCTACCAAAAGAGTGTACGTGTTCTGTTACGTAATTAATCCACAATAATCAAAAGCAACAAACTGCATGCTTGAATATAAATAATAACATATATTGATACTAATGTTGTATTAAATACAGATTTTTCGTAGTAATTATGATATAAATAACATTCATAATGAAAGGACTTCATTATATAATTTTCAAATAATGAAAGTTTGTAATTGAATAATCTTTAAATGAAATAGGAACGACTTGAGTTGCACAATATATAATTTAAAAGCTTTCGTTAACATTCTAAAACTTCATATCAGCTTTCAATATTCACCATGCATATGGTACTCATTATAGCTTGACGCTCACCATTACTTGGGAGATGACGAAGTGCAGAGTTGTCTCTGTACGCAACCACACGTGTGTTTGCGTGTCTGTTGTCCCGGCATTAATAATTGTGGCATATAGGTGCTCCGCTGTGGAACGCCGCGGGACAGGGACGCCGGCCTTGGGCTGATATATTCAACCCGAGCCCATCCCTACCTATATCGGCGATTACTCGGGACCCCTTCTGGTACGACTGGCCGGAGCTGAAGCCCCTTGCGAGATGGGACCGCAGCCCATCCTACATTCGTGACTCGTACCTGTCTCCGGTCAAACGCACCTTCCTCTGGGACAAGCATCCGATCAGGCCTTTAGGTTAGTCGGACGCTGTAAATACGCCAACGAACAACAGCTTTACTTCTAAGCTGTATATCGGCCTATATTATTACATTCACAATCATTCAATTAACGTTGTCAAATTCTAACAGGTATTCTTTGCTTACCGTGATATGTTTCTAATCATGTATTTTAATTATTCTCTAATTACAACAGATTTAATGGTGGCAGACGCATTGACCGTGGATGATCTAAGCAAGACATTACCGTTTATTCGTAGTCTATAAAATGAAAATAAACAGGTATCTGAATATGGTGGTAACAATGTAGATAGAGTTCCCTTTCTCCTGTTATGAGTTTGTCCTGTATTTAGTCAAATTTAGGGTAGAAGTGGTAGTACAAATTACGTGCTTCCTACCATTAAATAGAATAATTTATTCTTTTTATACATACATTTAACTTAGCTTTATTTGTTCTAGCAGGTTAATAATTAATAATAAAATCTAATAAGCAGATTATTTTTAAATTGTATTGTAAGTTGCCTTTCCATGTCTGTAACATTTAAATACTACGTGTAATATATCTATATTATATCTCATATATCCATAAATTATTATCATGGCTCATATTAAATAATTATTCGATACACATTCATTACTCGACATTCATATCTAATAATAATAATATCCTGGTACATTTTTTAAACGACGACGCATCAACACGACACCTGTATATAATTCATTCACACGGTCATCGTGTACTACTTATTCGCATTCGACGATCCAACGAGCATGAATTAATTTTTCTTTTGCGTTTTACGTAGCCCTAGTCCATGGCTATTAAATTTTTCTTTGACGTCATGTACAAACTATGCCATATATTGTATTTATTTAAATATCTCTAAGTACAATAAATCTAGTTTTAACTAGATTTATTGTACTTGTGCTGCAGATAAATTCATTGTAAAAACCTTGTGCTTACTTTTGATTGATATTAAAAATTAAATATAATTCGATGGTCTAAATATAAATTTGAATAACAAATTAGTCTAAATTAATAAGTAGGTAGATTATTACAAATAATTATCAAACTTCCATTTCACAAATAGGTGAAAAATCTAATAACTTAAGTTTCGTAACTGTATATTACGGATTATTGAAGATGAGAGTGCATCTTTTTGATAAGCGAACATCATAATTGTAGACACTAAATGTCATCACATCAATTTAGATTTTAGATTAACATATGTACTTTTACTTCAAATTATCAGAGGTAAAAGAACCTTTATTGTTGATTGTTTACACTACAAAAAGAACTAGATTTCAATTTTAGATTTTTATTAGTTCACTTCCATATTCACTACAATTTTTTTAAGAATATAAATACTTTTTATCTTTATATATATCTATATTTAATTTGTGGTTCTGATAATTATCCATGTTTGTTGTAATATCCAGCCAGCAAAATATACCTAATATGAACAATGTACATATGTACTTATAAGAGTTCTCAGTGCTATTCAAACGTCCATTAGGATGTACCTAACATGATTAGGCCTACAGAAATATTAGAAAATATGTTCTACTCTTTAGTTATAATTAAGAATTATTAGAATGTACTACTCTTTAAAATTTGTTGGTATATTCTATAAAGTTAAGGTATAATATTTTTCGGAATACTGCAACGTGACAGTCAAAATAACAATTAAATGAGGCATTTAAACAAAACGAATAAAAATATCTGTTAAGTAAGGCCATTATCTACTCGCCTAGAATTATGCTGTAAAAAAATAAAAAGTATATAATGAATCGGATGATCTATTACGTGAGTAGGTAACCGTCTTCATATTTTCAACTATTCAAATACTTCTATTCTTCTTTTTTCAGCCGCTGCTTTCTAAGGACGCAGACTTCGAAATCACTTTATATTAAGTTATGTACAATATTACTCCTAATTTATTATTTATAAATTTATATCTCTCTGTCGAAACACTGACTATGTTAAAGATTACATTAATTAATAAACTGATGAAGAAAATTATTAATATTATTAACTTCGGATATTTCTGATCCTTTTCATGCAAGATCTCAAAGACTGCAATAACATAGTCACTGCCATGGTAATTAAACACTCTTGTTATACATTATATAAACTTTGTTATTATTAAAAATATTTTTATGTATTACAAAACTAAAAAAAAATCAATAAAACTTTTTATAAAACTAATTTAAGTTGTACAATTATTTCTTTATAATTTTAATCATAGTTGGGGGGCGAATCAACCACGTATATGGCGAGTTACGAAGTATGCATTAAACCTTTGGGGCTATAGAGAGAGCTAAGCATTCTATTTTCTCTGTCTCATTAGAAAGTAACGTAATGGTAATAATAAAGTTAAATGAACAGAATAACCATTTTAAAAAATAATCACGTACGGAGGTATCGAATGTCTTATGAGCTAAGAATAGAACATTAAGAGGCAGGACAATCTGGAAATAAGGGTAGGATTTTACGACAGCGATGTAATATAATGGATACTAAAAGATAAAGGGCGATTAATTATATATTATACTAGCTGTACACGCGACTTCGTCCGCGTGGAATGTAACTTTATTTTACTAAAATAAAATATTTTTTCTAAAATAAAAGAAGCCTAAGTTACTCCTTCACCGGCTACCTGCCAAAAAAAGTCCCATCATTATCCTGAACAAACAGACAGACAAAAATTATAATATATGTTATTTTGATGTACATATGTACCGTATTTATATTCATATATATTCGTATTTATATTTTTTCAATATTACGAATAAATATATAATAATAATAATATATTTAATATATAATATTATATAAGAATATAATTTTATTTATATGTATAGATTAAATTATAAATTTTAAAAATATAAAACTATCAATGAGTACACTCCAGACTGATTAAAAATAAAATTGTAATGTCCATATAGTTGCCTTATTCTATTCCTAATCGAGTACAAACTAACGAGTATAGCACCTGTACCAAAGTGCCGTATAGTCGTGCGGTCAGTGCATTATAATTCTTATAGTTCCTATTTACTGCAGTTACAAGAGGTATCTGCTTATTGGTGGTATTATAGTATGTAACTATAACAATTAAAAAGTAATAATAATAATAATAATAGAATGCAAGTAGTTGAAATTAATGGGGTTAAAGTCTGGGGGAACTAGTATTAAAATGGTGTTCCTCAGGGCTCTATTCTAGGTCCTTTCTTATTTTTAGTTTAAATGATATTTCTTATAAGGTAGAAAAGATACCTGACATAGTTCTGTTTGCGGATGATACTTCATTAGCAAAATAATTGCACTCTTTAAGTCAGGAGAAAAAACTGTGGTTGGTAAATAAAGGCCTATATCTATATTACCAGTATTCAAAGTCAATCGACATATTGATCATATGGACAAGGTAAACGGTGCTCTCTCTTATGTTTTAAAATGGTTTACTGCTAATAATATGCTACTAAATGCAAATAAAACTAAATGTATCAAATTTACTCTCCCCAATGTAAGGCCGGTAGATTCAAAAATCGTATTGGACAATAAACCTATTAATTTTGTTGACGATACTGTATTTCTAGGTATCACATTAGATTCCAAGTTGCAATGGGCTGCTCATATTACTAAATTGGCGAGTCGATTTAGTTCTACCGCTTATGCGGTAAGAAGAATTAGACAATTAACAGACGTGGCAACGGCTAAACTTGTCTATTTTAGCTATTTCCATAGTATTATGTCGTATGGTATTTTGTTATGGGGCAAAGCAGCTGATATAAATACAATATTTATTTTACAAAAGAGGGCCATTCGCTCCATTTATAGTATGGGTTAAGAAATCAAATATCCTCACCGTTTCTTCTCAATACATTAATGTCGTCTGGCTAAAGTTAGTAATTCGTTTTATGGCAATTGCGTAAGGTTTTACAATAAAATACCAGAGTCTGTTATAAATCTGTCAGAAAAAAAATTTCAATGTCAAATAAAACACTTCCTTTGTAAAAAAGCTTACTATAAAATTTAAGAATTCGTAACAATAATATTGTTTTTATACAAAAACTTTAAATCCATAGCGCTGACAATATTATCTGATTATACTAATAATGTGTGCGTAGCGATTTCTATGTTGATTATCGCATGCCTCTTACTTGTTGTATTGTAATTATTTATATAAAAAAAATCTATTAAAAGGAGCAACACACAAGTTTCTTGCTCATTCTTCTTGTAATGAATCTGCATTCCGAATGAGTGGTAGAATCAAAATATGACTATTCAAAAGTGCTTGTAATGAGTTTATATTTGTATTTCACACCTAGCAAGTAATCACTCCGTTTGTATTTTTTACTGATGCAATCGGAGATATCCGTAGACGAAATTTTTTTTTCTGTTTGTGTCTTGGCACGTTGGTGAATTTGCCAAAGACAAAAAGACGAAATTTTAAAAACTGATTGAAGTAACTTCGAATAAAACGTCAATGTCAGTTATTTTACTGTCAAAGTCAGTAACAGTTTAAAATTAACGTTTATTTCATATACAGTAAACATAATAAAAGTTTTTGTTTATAAGTTAAAAATACATTTATTATTGTCAAACGAAATATAAACAGATCATAATTAACGCTCGTGACTAAAAAGATCGATATCCGTTTATTTTATTTATTTGTGTATTATTACAATGGGAGAACAGGCGCAAAACGAAACCAGCAATCTTGATATATATAGCGGTGGAGGTTCTTTTGATAACCTAACAATTTTAAAAGAGTTCAGCAATATTGCAAATATTATAAAGTAAGTGTTTATAATATTAGATTATTTACAACTACTGTTTGTTATGAAATCATGAATTTGTAGTGTAAAAGAATTATATATACACTTCATAATACACTAATGATGTTTAGTTAATCCTGCAACTGCACAATTTATTTGCACACTAGGTCAATAGAGGTATGTTGATCACAAAAATTGGTAATTAAATCTGTCATCAATGCTCTTAAAAAGTTATTCGATCGCAAAGATTAAATCTGTATGACTGAGTGCCGTCACAAATCAATCTATGCAAAAAATATTAAATATAAATAAATGTTATGTCTAAATTAGTTACCACAAAGAAATATCTTTAGTATTTTTAAATAAATAGCTACTGATGATTAAAATGAAATTTTCTTTAAATGAAATATATGAATAAGAATGTTTTATTTAAAAAAAATTATTAATATACTTATAAATATATAAGTATATTAATACATTGGATTATCTGTCTAACCGAGTGAATAACCAAATAGTGAAAAAATGAAATCTTTTTACTTATCAGTATTCAATCATTCTGTTAGTTAAGAAAATCAAAGTACCAAGGATTAGGATTAGTACTGATTTACAAAAGCCTAGAAATCAAACATCTTTTATTTATGAAATATATATGTTTTCTAGAAATGAAGATTTCTTGGAAACAGTACCTAAAGCAAAGCTCAGGCGAGTAAAATGGGTTCCTATGTTCAACTGCTTGAAACAAGGTATATTAGATGAAATGGTGCAAGAACTAAACACAATGTGGACATACGAAAATATAGCTATGAAATTGGAGGTCTTAGAAAAACAGAAAGAAAAGTTTTCAGAAATGCATTTGGACAAAAAACTGTGGTAAGCATAAAAGAAATTATTTTTATTACTATGTATATCTGTTAGGTTTCTATTTTACTATATTATTATTATTATGTACATATATATATTCTACATTTAGTTTTAATTTATATGCATCTTTATTCAGGAGGCCACAATTGGATGATGTTAAAGCACAATTAAAAGCAAGTGATTGTGTTAATTTACAAAAGCAAAAGGTATTTTTAGAATCTCTGGCCAAAGAATATGAAGCAAGGGTAACCAAATTGAAGAAAACTATTTCAGCTAAAAGAGGATATCTTAAAGCTTTACAATTGGATATACAGAAATATCAAAGAAAAAATGAAGATTTTATCATTAAAATTGATGATAAACTAGAAAATCATGAAAATTTGATCAAATCATTGATACCAAATAAGATACCTGTAGATGAAATTGTTTGGTCCGATATTGAGTCTGAAAACAATGAGTAAATTGATAATGCACAGTTTTGAATTAAATTTATATATTTCAGAAAATTGTACACACTTGAGAAAAGTACAACGAAATATATTTTGAACTAAATTTTTTTCAGTGTGTTTACTAGTATTACAAATAGATAAAAGGAGACATTAAAATGTTAAAGTGTTCATTTTAAAGTGATACTGACACCAAACCACAGAAATCTGCCTTCTCTATACATACCTAATTTGACTATACTATTATACATTTGGATTGTCCTGATAAAGATATTTTTTTAATAATTTTTGTAAGCATTATTTACTATATAAACAGAAAAATTATAGTTTAAATATAATATTGTTCAAAATATAAAGAAAAACATATTTTATTAGTAAAATACATTAAAAATATTACAATAGAGTAATGAAATATTTAGAGAATTTAATGTTTCATCATTATAAATGTATATTAAAATAAAACAAAAATAAACCTCTTATTGTAAATAGTAATTTATTAATGAAAATCATTGGACAATGTTAACATAGCTAAAAATAAAATTGTACAATGCATAATCTGCATATAATTTTATATTATTTTATAATTACAGCAATTGCACTATGGTTGCGAGGATTACACATTCTACCACCTTCAATAATTAATATTAATTCCAAGACTTGTCACTATCTGCACTGTTAAAGCCTCAGATGGGAGATCATGCCAATATTTTGTATAATTTTGTAATATACTACTTATTTTTTAAGATAATACTGAGTGCAAAATAATATTAATGTCAATGGATATTCACTCCTTATACATACATTTACAATTGGATCCTAAAAAGGATATTATTGAAAAGGTAATGCATTAAATAGAAGTAACATACCTAAGAAAATAAAAGAATGTATATTGTATATAATTAGTACATACATAATTATATACCATAATTTATTGTGGATCATGGTGTAGGAGATCACTATACTGTCATGGCAGATTGTCATGATTTGCACATTAGACATTAAATGCTGAATCAAGAAATTATGTTTCATCAAGCAAGACTTACAGAAAAATTTACTGTATCACATACTTAGATAAAATGTTACTTCTATTTGATGTGCTAACCATTTTTATTTCTATGACATACATTTAGTGTTAGTGATAGTGGTGACAATTTTTCAATAACATTACTAGTGAGTGAATGTGATGTTAGCTTTAGGCCAGCTCTACAACAGGACTATTTTATTTTGTGGAAATAAATAAAACTTAATAATAATTTTTATAAGTCATCAATGACTTTAAAAATAACAACAATGTGAGACTATATAGTTGCTTAATTTTGAAGTATTGCCTAGTAAAAACTAAAATTTTCAAATTAACCAATTATCGTCACCTATACGACCTATACATACTTTACATTTATAGGCACATTAGTTATAGAATAAACAAAGCAAATGTGCTTCCGATCCACTACAACTTAGTAAGTAGTATTTATGAAAAGGTAATGACGCTTTAGTCCAATGCCCGCATCTTTAAGATCACTCGCCATTCTTCAAACTCTAAATTAACGAAATAATTTTACTACAACATCAACATGTTAGAATAACACAACAAGATATAATATGCTCTAAAAAGGCTGTGTTTTATCAGGGATCGAAAAAGCAATAGTCACCGAGGCATCGCCGAATAGTCCATGTCTGCTCAATATCGACAAAATGTAGAACTAAATTCATAAATTAATATCACTCACATTTAATAATAAAATTAAAAATAAGAAGGCACAAGCAAATTGATAAATAATTTTAACAATACACGACATATTATTCGGCTATGTCCAATGACCACACTAAACATAACAATTATAGTACATAATATAATTAATTATTTGTAGCATTCCTCTCACTGTGCAGCACACTGGATCCCAAACGTCAGTTATTTCTTTTTTGGCGGTGATCGCTGAGGTGTAGCCGGCCTTCCGCTGTTGAGGCCATTGTATTGGTATTTTGCTTTCTTTTCTGATGGTTTCAATATCTGTAAACAATATAAAATATTAAAATCATGTAAAAATTATATACATTATTTTAGAAATTGTATTTTATTACATTAGTCCCCAACCTGTTGGCATGTTTCTGCCTGACATTAAAGTTAACTTGATATAATTAAAAGAGAAAAAAAATCGGTCAGACACTACTAAAGAAAACCTTTGTTTAAAAAGAAATAAACCTGTGTAATGAAACTGAAATAAGACTAATACAGGTACTACAGTAGCACTGAGCAATGCTACTGTTTGAAACCAAAATCAAATCTAGAAGATCACGTACACAAAATAAAGGAAATAAAAATAATATGTTGTGCCTACACTTGTAATATTTCTGTCGACCTTGAGACCCTTTTTTTTTTTTATTGGGTTGTTTCCATTAGTTGTAGCACCTGTAGCACTGCGACCTACATAGAACATAGACCCTTCCATTAGTTTACGTCTCCACTAACATAGATTTAAGTTAAATGTAATGTAAAATCAGTTCAAAAACGTTCCGACTCCGCGTCGACTGGACGCGTTATTAATAAACCATGTAGCAACTACCTATAAACTTAATAATGTCTAATAAATAGTGTAATCATTTTACCGGTATACTCACTACCTACATACTACAATAAATAATATATTATGTAGCGCCACCTCATCAGAACATATATAATGCTACAGTGATGAGGATAACCACCGCGCTACAACGTCAATATACAGGTTATTACCTGGAAAGAACACATAAGCGTTTCGTCCACAGACATCATGCCGCCTGCATTGTCGAACTCGCCGCAGTAGTTGGGAGCGGAAAACAGCGTCACAAGTTGTCGCTTTGCGAAAAACTCATAGCCGTCCTCTACTACCTATAAGGCAACAAATAAAATACACTTAAATTGCATGTCTGTATGTTCTGTGTTGTTTTTATTGCTAAACTACTAAATGAAAATTAGCATAAATATAATATATTTAATTCAACAAAATAAAAATAACCTCACTTGATAAAATTTATATGGGAAGATAATAATATATATTTTATTGTGGCGGGGATTGCAGACTTATCCAAGATACACATACAATACCTATCTATATAATGTAATATATTTTTTTAAAGTTATTACATTCTTAGTATTTAGGTGTTCCAACATCGCTATATGATACAGGTGATGAGATGACGAAATTCATGGTACTTCCATGAATTTCGTTTGTAGATGTTTTAGCTCAAATTTCAATTAATGGAGATTGATACATGAGTACAAGTTGATCTTGGCCTTAATGTTTACAACATATCACTCTAGAGGTGAAGTTGGAAATACATTGGTTTGGGTTATGGAAACTTATTTTAGAAACAACAACAATGAAATAAGATTTTAGGAAAGTCAGTAGTAGGAGGTGTATATATATGTATACAAAAGTAGGATATTTTTAGTCTAAATGCCAGAATGAAGTCACAAAATCCTGTATTATTTTGATAACAATCAATTATTAATTATTTAAATTATTAACCAGGTCTTAACACGAATAATTTTATGGCAAATAAAGGTATTTATTTACCTATCGTTTCGACTAGGTTGCACTAGGTAGCCGTGGTCACGTGCTGACCACGGCTAGTTAAGACCCGGTTAAGTTTAAAAATAAAAATCAATTATTAATTTTAAACTGGTCTGTAAAAATTTACTAAGTTACCTGATGCGCACGACAAATCAAGTCCAAATCGTGTCTGTTCAGGAATTTGCTTACGACATCGGGGCCAAAAGTGAAAGACACGCCGCGATCATTCTCTCCCCAACCTTGAACATCTTTATCTGGATCTGACCATAGCAGGTCACAAAGTAAACCTGAAAATAACATAATAAACAATTTGTAAAACAACAATATAAATAATTTGTATTCTAATACCACAATATCTAGTACTTTAGTCAATAAATTTTTCATCTCTGTAGATAAAACAAATACAAATATAGATTTATAAGGTAACATTATAAATTAATTCTTTTAAGTAGATGGCCTACTTGCCCTCATAGTAACACGCTGCCTTTTTGCGAATGTCGCGGATACTATACTGCGCGGTACAAATATGGGTATTCTTGTGTACGATTAATTGAATCAGTCTAGGTGTTTTTTATGTATATTATGTACGTACCTGTGTCGGGAACATCAGTGGGTCTCATTATCCGCCTGATTTGTTCCATACCCTGCAGATCTGGTGAAAGGCCACCATGGCAGCAAAATATCTTCTCGTCAATAATAGCAGCAATTGGGAGACAATTAAAACAGTCTGTGAATGTCTTCCAGAGCTTGATATTGTAGCGACGCTTGCATTCATCATAAAAGCCTGTGAATTAAATAATTCCAGTTACTATTATATTGTGAGAGTTTCTTTGTCAAACAAAGAAAATCATACTAATGGTTTTGTCTCACTAAGTTGCTAGTCCGTTAATTAATCATATCATGACTTATAACATTTATAGAAAAAGAGAATTGTTGATAATAGGGAAGTTAACCATGTTAGGTTAGATTAGTCGATTACCCCTGGAAATCATCATGCTAAATTCCTGGTGATATCATCACAATGGGCAAACTAACCTGACCTCATTCTCATCTTATCATCCTCCTGTGCCCTGCCAGCGTATATCGTTAGCGCAGTCGGGTGCACCACTCCATTATCATATATTAAAAACATAATAGACAGAATTAACCAAACCAAATTATCAGTCTGTGTATAAAATTCTAAGTTATAAACATTAAATCAGAGAATCTAAAATTCTAAAAAAGAATTTTATATTTATAAATTTTAAACTTAGTAAAAAAGGAGGCTTCTTAATATCTTTTCAGGATGGAACAGTTGAAGGAAACTTAATTTAATTTGAGGTGAAGAAAATTTTATAAGGAGGACAATATGCTTACCACATCCTACATAAGCTTATCTTTTATCTCAATAAAAAGTAGTCTACATTTAGATAAAGGCTATTCTCAAATGATATACTCAGTTCCTGAATAATAATTAGGTCGTTAAAAAAATCGTTATTGAATACACACAGTAGTTAGTCTACTGTGTGTATTCAATAACGATTTTCAAATTGATTATTTTATTTATAAAGTAGTATAAACCTTGATATTTAAAAAAGGACACTATTGTAACTTAATAACCGCAGCTGACAGAGATTCCACGGCGATACAGTCAGCTAACAACTTTATGAATTAAAAACAGCATATATACTTATATCTGACACCAAACTATAGCCAGCTGACTATTTTTTTATATTCAATATAAGTTTAATTATGCTATATGGTACCTATTATTATATATTTTTATTTGATTGCAATTTGAATTAGGAGAAAATTGTAAGATTGTTATGTTTTTTGTTATGGGTACTGCTACTCAACCCACTCTCGGATTTTAGATGTTTACAACCGGAAGAAAACTGGTCACCTGAATATATTGCTTACTCAAAGATAAATATTTAAACAAACTAGTTTTATGTTACTTACCATAGATACGATTTATGCTAGCACATTCATGATTGCCACGTAAAAGAAAGAAATTTTCTGGATATTTTATTTTGTATGCAAGCAAGAGGCATATTGTTTCAAGAGATTGCTTGCCACGATCCACATAGTCCCCGAGAAACAGGTAATTAGCTTCAGGTGGAAAACCGCCGTATTCAAACAGACGTAGTAAGTCCGTATATTGGCCATGTATATCCCCTGAAATAGCAAGTATGGTTTACAGTATATACAATTTTTTATAAAAGGTGCAGATGAATCGCACAAATTGACTGAATGCTAAGTGCAAACAAGTTTCTTAATATTTTCAAATCCACAGTAATATCTGTAGTATTATCTATGTTATTAATATTTATGCAAGGTATTGAGTATTTTTGTATCACTATCAACAGGACACAGCAGTATAACAATAAGTTATGGATATTCCTATTTATGGTAACTTTGTGATTGGTGTTGCAAGCAGTATGAGTCACTTCTGGATTGCACTGTGTGTAATACATGCAGATGAAGTATGAATAATAAAATAATGTACATTTTATTATATGCTATATGATAGATATAGTCTGTTTTTTAATCTCGGAGACTAGACAGATGACAGCTGTAATTGAGAATTATCAAATAATGTTACCACCTACAGCGAGGTAGTGTTGTAACTGAGATAATAATTTATTTAATCATTAGTTTTTTTTTGTAACATATTTTCAAAATTTACATACATAAACTAGTGTTTCCTGTCCAGTAGTAGTATTATACAATACAAAAATATTTTTTTCTGGTTACCATACATATAGTAATTTTTACACTAAAAATAAAAAGAAAGATGTTTTGTAGCCTAACAAACCGACATTTTATTATTTTTAAATATGTGTATGTTTTATGAAATATGACACCATTAGGAGGTTTGTTTTATAAATAAAGGTTTGTTTTATAAAAAAAGACAATTAGTCATTGTTTATTAAAAAATAATAATCTGTATTTATTATTATTCTGTATTAATGTGTTCTAAATAAACAGCCACACATCATTTTTGAGTCACCTATAAAAATGGGTAATTAACATTATTTTAATATAGTGCCACAACACTATTTAGAAATTTCAAAAAGCTAGTAATATACATAATGTTAATTTTGTCTCCGGAATTAAAAAAAATAGACAATAGGTATGTTAATCTCATTTTTCATGATGAACAAATATATATAGTTCAATAAGTACTTGAAATTTACCACATATTTTAAGTGGCGCCTCTAATTCCAGTAATATTGGCTGCTGTAAAAATATTTCCCTGGATTTTGTGCAGAGGCCACGGACCTCCGACTCTGACATCTGCACAGTTTTGCCTGGCCTGCATCCTCGAACTATAACAATATGTATTAATAAATTGATTTTAAATTAAACATAACTTTTTTCACAATTACAGGGTTACAATTATTTCAACTTTTAATAATAATACTACCTCTTTTACCAGAGTGCAGATAAAGGAGTAATTAATGGGTTTATTATGTGGTAAATAAGTTTTTGTTTATAACAATAGTTAACAAGCATAACAGGTTCAATAAAGTAGCTTCTAGCAATGACTAATATAATTAGCTCACACTTTTTTTTACAAATATGCAATGTTTAGTTGTCACATAAATAGTCCTTTCATCAAATGTAAGCTAATTACATTTAAACAATCATGACAATCATAATTCAGAAGTGCATTCATTGATATTAAATTATTAGTTGAAACACAAGTTTTAAATTAAAAGGAAATATGGAAAGCAACAGGCAAGCAAGCCTAGAATAGAAAACTATATATTAATGAATCATTGTCAGCAAATAATACAGAACAATTTTTTTTTAAATGGAAGTCTACACAAGTTTCTGTATTCAGTGAAAACACTTCTTTTACAATAACAATGTGTACTGCATGCCAAGGTAACAACTAAGGTTACATTATATTGTTACTTAATTAGTAGACCATTACATTAACACTTTAACATTTTACAAGCAACATACTCACACACAAGTTACACAGACGCAAATATTAAATTAAAATGTTATAATGAATAATTTTCTATAAATGACAAAATTCTTTCAAATTAATAGAATAAATTTGTTATTATTAAAGTTATTAAAATTCAATTTTAACTTTTCAACAGTTAAAGACTAAATGATTAGGAAAATAACATAATTATAATGACTATCAAGCATACCGCCAATAGCCAACTGTTGTTACCAGAGAGTATACTTCACAAATTTCTTGATTTCTATATCAAACAATAAATAATGCAAAATAACATGTAGGTAGTCTATTTTCCACTACCAAGGTATCTGTAATGACCAGATTTTGACTGTAGTGAGAAATATTAAGCCACTTACAAACTCCAAGTTTTGTGGTGTGTAAGTTCATAGTTAAGGTTATCATCTTAGAGAGGAGACAGGCAGTAAAAAACCAGAACACACATATATTTTATCAATAAGGGCTTAATCCACAAAACATATCACTGTATGTTGTTACTATCACAAATGTGGATGAGATAAACACCAAAAGAAAAATATAAAACTGGATTTAAGTTTTTATGGTTGATTACTAAAGGAAGAATAAAATAGAATCTAGCTGAATACTTCCACAAGAATATTTTTTTTTGTGACCATACATTCTCCTGAAAAGATGTCTTTCAATTTCCCTTTTCTCCTTGCGGTTTCCTGCTGCAGCCTGTATACTGTTGTAACCCGTCAATAAGCAGCGTAATAAAGTGAAATAAACATGTTTAAATCAATTCAATGTTTACTGAGAAAAAAATCATAACAATAAACCCATAGAAGAGTCCCTTGTAGACTGACATGATTTTATGTAGAAAGCTTTCTTGCAACTATGTTCTTGTTTCTTTTCATTTCAAATCTAATTTGAAAGTATAGGTTTCAATGTTTTAGTGGAGGCACATCTAATATAAAACACGGTTGGAATTGAGGATAATCGATTTATTTATGAGTTTGACGTTTCTCTACCTCTACATACTCAGTGATAATTACGCAACTAGGAACAATGAGCATAGTTCTATTTAAATCCATCAAGACGAATTAGAATATAACAAACACATTGCACATTAAAATATGTATTGAAATTCTTTTTACCTTCTAAAAGTCTGTGAATCAGACTGTCAACATTGAGTTCGTCAGCCATATTTACCACACGAATAATTTACGTCAAAAAGTCAAATTATCAGGCAAACCTCCATCCATGATCTATTGCGCCGAGTTTTGTTTTTGGTATAGTGTAACCAGATGTAAATTCTTAATGGTGCTAAATTCTCTAAAAGAAATGCCAAAATATGTACACGACTTATTACACTATCAAAAATCACACTTATAAAATAATCATCATCTTCATTAAGTTCAGGCTGGAGATAAGATAGGGACTGTAAGTATGTTCAAGTTTTCAAGTAAGTTATAACATAGTAGTAGAACATATATTTTTAACTTTTTTGGCTAGCTGCATTCTATTGCAAAAAAAATCGATGTTATAAAAAAATACAGATTACATTATATTTTTGGTAATAAAAATAAAAGTAATTATGTGAAACAAGTTCTAATCTAACCAATAAAACAAGTTTTAATCTAACCAATCCCACGAAAAAACTTACCATTTCTAATTTTGTTATATTACTATTATTTTAATTTGTATTTTTGTAAAAGTTAGATTTAATTTTAATTTTATAAAAACTACTGTTTGAAACTACGTAATTTTTATATTTTTATTTTTTGTAAATTGTCACTTGCCAATGAAAACCTTACTACGAAGTGTCATTGGTCACAGACAAGCACCTAATCATAAACAAATATTTTTTTATTTTAAATTATTATTTTCTTGCGGTCAAAATGTCGCTGTTCCTGATTGTCAAGCTATTTTCTCATCGTAATGTGCCGTTCTGGCGCATAGTATGTATGAAACATTGTGCTTTGGCGTGTGCGTTCTATTTTATTTTAGATTGTACCTGACGGCTGATCACAAAAACTCGTGACTGTAATTACAACTTTGGTGTACCATTGCTTCTGTTTTCGTAAACAACACATACAATACAACGCGAAAATCCGAGTAAGACATGAAAAATCGCATCGGGAACTAGTGAAAATTGTCCGTTGCATCACGGGAAGTATAGCATTTTTATACTTTCTTACCAATGGAGGAGAAGATGGAGAGCGAACAAAGTATGAGTGGGGCCAGTAGTAGCTCGTCTGAATCATCTAGCGGGAGTTCAGACGGGGAGGAGGAGATACAGGAGACAATTCGTATCCTGGGTCAGACACTCGAATTACCACAAGAACTATGTGAGGACTACACAGTATTCAAAGAGTTCTTCTCCATGAAGACATGGGAAGCTTTAGAAGACAGCCACAGAGAACATTTAATGAATTATTTGCCAAAATTCTCTGAAAATGATAAAGACGAAAAGCAGAAAACTCTTAAAATGCTGTTTGAACATGAGCCATTTCATTTTACATCACCTTTCACTGATTTATATAATAATTTAAAATATGGAAACTATAGGCCAGATATTGCCAAAATGAGAAAGTTTTTAAAGAAAGCAAGGGCTAAGCAACAAAAACATAAGGTAATAAAATTAACTCTATTTTGTAAATATGTGCAACTGATTTTTTTAAGGTATAATTTTTAAAATGTACAGTTATTAGGACATACTGTGCATTCATGAATAATATATTTATTTCAGATAAAATCTTATTATGCCAAGTTATTACCAGAAGTATTGTTATCTCGGGAGCGTTTATTAGCTGCAGCTAAGGCTGCACCCCCAGGTCCCATTCCTCGATTGCCACTCTTACCTACCAAGCCTTCTAAAAATAATTATAAACCTCTATATTTAAGAGCTAGACAGAGGTATTTTGAAGAGTTGGCTGCCATCCGGGGTGAGGTAGGTGGTGATGAATCAGATGATGAGAATTATCCTGATGGACCACCTGAGCAAATGTCTAAAAAAAGGAAGCAAATCAGTGGACAGGTAATTAAAAACTTGTAGTGAAAGAAAGAAAAATATTATGACTGTGTTAAAGTAAAAAGTACATGATTATACAATATTATTTGGAATTTCAGAATAGTGATAGTAATGTGTCTGGAACACTTGGTGCTTCCGACTCAGCACAACCAACATCTTTGGCTTGCTTGAAGAATATTCTTGCAGCTCACAATATGCGTAGAATACACAGAGAGGTAATTAATAAGAAGTATAATATTGTCTTCTACTTTTATAGCCTAATGCATGAATACCTAACTCAAATTACTTATTGTCTAACATTACATAACTGCTGTAAGCTTATCATAAGAGATTACTATCAATTAGTATAAGCTAATATTATCTTTTGTTTCCTTGGATGAAAAATTCCTTTAAGAATAAAAGTAAATTAGTGTCCTTTTCAATCATTGCAATATTATTCCATCACCACAAAGAATTGCTTGAATATCATGGTTTAAATACAATATTCCTTATTTATAATTGTACTATATATTTATATTAATACTATACTTATTTTAAGTTTAAGTTAATGCTTAATTTTACCAAAAAGAAACTATTTTGTTCTATCTTTTTTTCATTCAATAAGATTTGCATAACATATTTTCTGAATTGTGATGGATTAACAATTAATAAATGTATTTTGTGTAATAGAATCATCCAGAACTGAATACAACTGGAATATCTCTAGAAGATATAAAGCAAAGAGTAGCTCTAGTTAATGGTGCCAAAAGAAATATCTTTGGTGGTCAAAAAGGTGAAACACCAATACAGAAATTAAGAAGAGTATCTAAAAAAGATAAAGTCAAACAAGATTTAAAGTTAGTAAAAAGAAATATCAATGAACAGCAAGATAGTATAGATAATAGACCTCTGTTACCAAATATTAAAATTAAATGTGAGCAAGAGGAATCTGATTCAGAAAGCTCCTCTTTTGTGGATCCAATCACAAGTCCGAAACAACCAAATAAGTCATATGAAAACCTAGATATCAAACAAGAAGAAGATGTCAAATATCCTAGTATTGCCAAGTTAGTAAACAATGTTCATTTTAACTATAAATTCCTTATTGTTCTTCCTAAACATAATAAATTAATTTCAGTATTAACTACAATGAATCAAATTTAGACAATGTGATAAAACAAGAGCCACATGATCCTCTAATGCATGGTGCAAAAGGAAATCAGCCAGTTCCAATAAAATTGGAAGATTTAGATGGTATTGGTAAGCATTTGTAATCATTTCAATAAATAAATAAATTAGCCAATAATTTTGGTGGAGACATGACATATGCTCAACAAAATATTTCATTTGCACAACCTTATTTAGTTCAAAATAGTTTTTGCCAAGTTTATGAAAACTATCTATATTGCAGGAACTTTGCAATATCATTCATCTTAGAAAGACAATTATATAAGATCTTTATCTCATTCCCAAATATATTATATGTCAAATTTCATAATATTTCTAAAACTGTTTATAATAGAGTAAACAGACAGGCTTATATTTAAGACTAATAAATGCCAAGAATTATAAAGATGTATTTTTAATAAAATATATATATTTACAGATATGATGGCTTTACCTGTGGAAATAGCGGATGACTCTGGTGAGGTTATAGCTGTTGATGGTAGTAGTGGTGAGACAGAGGAGCATCTTATGGATACTGATGAGTCTTTAACAGAGATAACGCACGCCAACTTCCTCTCGTTAGTGCGCGCGTTGTTTCCTGCCCGAGCAGCTCACCGCGCATCAAAGCTCCAATTGCACGCTAGATGCGCGGCCGTTATGCGGTCTCCTATTGCACCCTTAAATACATGGTATAGCTGTAAGTAATCATAGTGATTATAATGTATAAAGAAACTAATTTACTTTCACATACAAGTAAAGATTACACAAATTATTTTAATTAATTATTAAATATATACATCTATATCTTGTTAAATATACTGTAATATTCTTTTATAGTGTCTGATGACTGGTGTGCTGAACTTGATTCAGCTTTGGATTTCCTTGCTGGAGAAAGAGGGCCACATCCTGATGATTTTGTGCCATATTTGCAGTTTATGCCAGAAACACAAGTTAGTTTTCCATAAAAATATGTAGATATATTGTAACATAATTTGGATACTATGAACACCATTTTTCCAAATTTTCAATTCTAATTGTATATATAAAATATTATTGTATTATCATATATATTATATATATTTAGTATCATCTATGTATTACTTCTACTAGACATTTTTAGCCAAATATGTTCTTCAATATCTACTTATATCTAAGGTTGTCAAAAACGAGTTGTTCCATAGTGCTCACTGAATTTAAGAGAAACTTTAACATGAACATTCTAGGGAGAAGTGGATTTTAGTTATGCTAGCAATGTACCATGACAGGTTGACTTGGGGGGAGTCATGGGGTTCTCCATGGAAACCATCATGATAAATTCCAAGCGATTCGTAATCACCAGCTGACTCGAACTGAACTGACTTTGCAGTCATCTTATCATCCTCCACTGGCACCCCGGCAGCGTAAACCGTCAGCACAGGCGGATGCATCATTCTATTAGCATACATTAAAAATAGACATGAAAATTAACTTTAGGTAATGTAGTGTAGGCGCCTCACCGGAACATAAGTATAGTGTGGAGCGTTCGGTAGATGTACCAGTGGATCGGCGCGGGGCGGGACTGCGACGCGCTGCTGGGGCGGCTGTGCGAGCGCTGGCTGCGAGCCGCCCCGCCGCCCCCCCTGCCGCCCGCGCCCCCCGCGCACGCCCCGCCCGCCGCCCCCGCCGCGCCCGCCGCCCCCGCCGCCCCGCCACCCGCCGCCGGGCCAGACCTGCCGCCGCCCAGGTAACCATCTTCATTTTTTTCTTTTTGAATTCCTCTAATTGGCAATCTGTTTTTTTTATACAATGGTCCAATCTGATTGTTTATTACCTTAAATTGTTTGTATTCTCTTAAATTGGACTGCAGAGTCAGCTCTCAGATGCTCTTTTCCGCTTGTCCCTTGATTTCACATCTTTTAAGCTGAGAAAATCTTAGACTCCACTAGACTAGAATACAGCTAGGCTAACAGACCAGACCTCATGCTCATCTTATTATCCTCATCTGCCAACATATATTGTTAACGCAAGCGGGTGCAATGTTTTGAACATTGACACAATTATGATGGTAATTAAATGGGTACACCATTTAATAATTGTGCCAATGTTTTGATGCCAAATAGGTATCGAAAGCATCTGTATATGTTGCTTGTAAACTTACAAGTACATAATCAAAAATGGTCTTTTCAACCTGACTTAGAACAAGGTCATAAAGCTCAATCAACCCAAGCTTGGTTAGAAATTAATTTAGACCTTAATCTGGTGGATTATGATTTATGGCCAGTTTTAGTGAGTACGGCTTGCTCTAATAACCATGATAATTTGAAGTCCCAAAAGCAAACCATATGATTTGCTTATGATTTTGCTTGAAGTTGTTGGCAGTGAAGAATTTTATTTCATTTCTGTCAAGCTTATAAATTATTTATTATTATTTTATATTAATTTCGTGTCTTATAGGTACCCTACATCATGGGTGGTACGTTCACCGACAAGTGCGGAGATTGCAGAGTTTCGCGCACAGGAACGACGCAGATTCGCATCGGCTGCGAAACCATTCACATACCATCAATACGGGTATATATGCCATAATTTATTATTGTTCTAAAAATAATATGAATTATATATAGAATATTTATGTTAAATTTTAAATTTCGAGATTTAGAGTGGTGGTTTTGTAATATATGGAATATATACTTGAACTAATTCTACTTTCTCACGCAAGAGTTCGAGGCTTTAAGGAGAGTGCATACTGTGATTAGTGAGAACTCTAAGATTTATTATGTGCACATAGGTACCGGAGCGTGGTGGGCCCGGCGGGGCGCGCGGCGGGGGCGGCGGAGGGCGGCGCGCTGGCGGCGGGCGCGCGCCCCCGGGCCGTGTCCCTGGCGGCGCTCGTGAGGGACGCCGCCGCGCGCCTGCCCAACGGACAGGGCTCGCGGCCGCACCTGCTCACGCTGCTCAGGTGACGCTCCTCTCTACTCGCGGCCGTGTCCCTGGCGGCGCTCGTGAGGGACGCCGCCGCGCGCCTGCCCAACGGACAGGGCTCGCGGCCGCACCTGCTCACGCTGCTCAGGTGACGCTCCTCTCTACTCGCGGCCGTGTCCCTGGCGGCGCTCGTGAGGGACGCCGCCGCGCGCCTGCCCAACGGACAGGGCTCGCGGCCGCACCTGCTCACGCTGCTCAGGTGACGCTCCTCTCTACTCGCGGCCGTGTCCCTGGCGGCGCTCGTGAGGGACGCCGCCGCGCGCCTGCCCAACGGACAGGGCTCGCGGCCGCACCTGCTCACGCTGCTCAGGTGACGCTCCTCTCTACTCGCGGCCGTGTCCCTGGCGGCGCTCGTGAGGGACGCCGCCGCGCGCCTGCCCAACGGACAGGGCTCGCGGCCGCACCTGCTCACGCTGCTCAGGTGACGCTCCTCTCTACTCGCGGCCGTGTCCCTGGCGGCGCTCGTGAGGGACGCCGCCGCGCGCCTGCCCAACGGACAGGGCTCGCGGCCGCACCTGCTCACGCTGCTCAGGTGACGCTCCTCTCTACTCGCGGCCGTGTCCCTGGCGGCGCTCGTGAGGGACGCCGCCGCGCGCCTGCCCAACGGACAGGGCTCGCGGCCGCACCTGCTCACGCTGCTCAGGTGACGCTCCTCTCTACTCGCTGGTGCGCGACGGAGGCGGAGAACGGCGGGCATAGGATTATTTTTATATTACTTGAATTTTCTTAGCCTATATATTAACCTTAACCTTACTTAAATTCTGAAGACTGATTTACAATAAACAAAGTGTGTTTGTTAGTGACCTTTTTGACAAGATTGTGCCCGATTCTTTTTACTTTAATCTGTACCCCGAATGGGCGATAGAATAATAAAAATGACGTCAGAAGAATTTATATTTTTCATTTATTTTCTACATTATTTTTGGTTTATTGTTTGTCTAATCTCACTATTCCTTCATGTCTGTTTTAATGAGTAATCTTTTCTGTTTAAGAATGTCGCAATGGATCGCACCATGCAGTGATCAAGTTTTGCTCAGCGCGGTCTCGCCGATATTGGATCGCTTGCAGTCTGCTAAACGAGATCCTTTTGTCAAATACGACCAAAAAACTGGCATTTGGACATATTTATACAGACACAGGTAAGAAGAAAGTATACATTATTGTATTTTTATTTGAGAGACAGTGTTCATTTGTATTATTAAGATTGGTCAGCAATTATATAAATTAAAGTATCTAATAAAGTACTTTATTGTATGTTATTACAAGCATCATATAATTATCCTAAATAATATAATAATAATAACCCTGGACAATTCACACGGCGCTACCTAGTGTTAAGCTAAGCAGAGCTTGTGTTATTAATATTAGAGAAATACATACACAATAGACATAGAAAACACCTAAACCAAAACAAACAATTATATTCATGAATACAAATGTTAGCATCATGTGAGGAATACCTACAACCATTAAAACGGTGTATTAAACCATAGACCCAGGTTGTCAATTGAATGCGATGAAGGCAGGCCTTTAACACCATGGAACAATAATCAAATAGAACTATGGGAGTTTTGTACACCCATGGGATATATCTTTCGCTGTCAAATTTGTGCTGTAAACTTAGTTCAATTTTTTTCTAGTCAATCTGATCGTTATGACAATTCGTTTATCTATTTACCAAATACAGGAGTGAAGAGGATTGGTTGAAATTGAGCAGCAAGCGCGGTAAGCGAAGTACCGCTCGGGAAGTGCGGGGGGCAAAGGTTGCGCGGGAGGAGAAGCCGGCTGCTCCCGGTACACCCAACGCCCGAGCACGTCCTGCACATCGACACGTGAGTACATTTCATTGTTTAGAGGTACGGTACCAGGGACTTGATATACTTTAGAGTACCGTATCAAATTCCACGCAATCTCCATTAGAAATCGGTGTGGCTTGTTATTTTCAGATTTCTTTTTAATAAAGTTATTTTACTAAAATGTATTTTTTTATTTTCATAAACTTTTTAAAATTTTCATAAAAGCTGATTCTCAATTGTACTCTTTTCTGTTTAAAACTACCTTTGTTCATTCTGAACAAAATTTACAATAAAAAATCTAATATAAACTTTGTTTTTACATTTCCAGAAAATGCAGGCAATTGATGTTATCACCCAAATAACGATAACGCTAATCGTGCAATACTTTAGATATTTTTTTATATACAGTAGTCTTATGTAGCCCCCATTAATAGTTTCAACTATATTTTATTTTTGTTTTTGTATTCAGGCGGAAAAGAGTATAGATAAGGTTGCGGAGACACCGGAGAATGCATCTGACAGCGACGTAGACGTGGAGGATTCGGATACGTCGGCATCCCACCAACTGTCGTCCGCTCAGCTCCTCATGCAGGCACAGGCCACACAAGCTAAGCAACAGCCAACACCAAAAACCAAGGGAAAACTCGCCACCACCCCACCGAAACCCAAGTTAACACTCTCAGCGAAGCAAACGTCAAAGCAGGGCAATTTAATGACGCAGTCCGTGAAACAAGCGACTCTACTAAGTCAAGTGAAACAAGCTAGTTTAGTTCAATCTAAACAAGCTAACACTCCTCAATCCAAAGCATCCAGTTCACCAGTGCAGTCGAAACCGCCCACTTTGAATGCGTCAATGCCGAAGCAAGCTAACTTAATGACCCAATCCGCGAAGCAAGCTAGTTTAATGGCGCAGGCGACGAAAAACAATGTTACTCTAGCGGCGAAGCAAAATATACCGAAGACGCCGACTGTTGTCCAATCTAAGCAGGTTAATGTGGTGAAGCAACCGCTTCAGTCATCGAAAAGTCCATTTGGAGGTCAGGTTGTGAAGCCTGGCATTGTTCAGTTGCCTGTAAAGCCGACTGTCGTAGTGCAATCCACACAGGCAAATACACAAGTTGTCCCTGTGTCTAAGTCTATATTACCTGTTATATCGACGCCGCACAAGTCACCTCTAATTAAACAGCGGCCATTGTTGAAGACGGAGGTCGCACAATCACCGGTATGCATATATTCTATATTATTTTTAATAATTATTTATATATATTAAGCAACTTTATGGCTCATACATTACATTACAGACTAACATACAATATAAAATGTTGGACCTATTGAAAGAAAGCGCATACCCGCGTTCTTCAATCGTTTAAAAATAAATACGCGCTGTAACACGCGAAAGAGTGAACACAAGTAAAGTAGTAAAATGCAGTCACTGACCATGGCGCGCACATGCTTTCCCGCGTGACAGAATATGTCGTGTAAAGGCAGTTTAATAAGTAGATTTTTGTACCAATTATTGTTATAGGTACCCACTCCTGTTGTAAGTCAACAAACATCGGCGGCAGTTGTAATACCACCCACCATCCCTGTACCTGCACTACAAACTCAAAATAAGGTATATACTTATTTGTCTATACTGTACTTATTTATACATACGTATCTTCATTAAATACTCATATCTAAAACATCTATTAAATAAATCTATTATAAGACATGTTGTTTTGTATGGATCTGAATGTTGGGCTGTAAAGGGAATACAAGAAAGACGTATGCATGTTGCCGAAATGAAAATGTTCAGATTTGACCGTTGCTATACTGCGCCGACCACAAGAAATGGGATAAAGGCAAGGCAATGATGATGATTTAAAACATATATTAAAATCTCACATAAAGAACAAAGCTACTGTAATAAAGTTGCTATTAAAAAATAAGAATAAAAAATACAAAGTAAACCGGAATTCAAATTGAACTGAAAAAATGGAATACTATGTGCTATTGGTTATCAATAAAATCTATTATTGATAACCAATTTACGGAGCCTACTATTACATAAAACTATGTTTAAAACTGACTTTAGACGGGATTATAGCATTGAAATATGATTGGAGATAATTTCTATAACAATGTGATTTTTATTTTTTTTAGTCTGCACAAGGAACGCGTTCATTGCTTATCAGACCGCCTGGTGTACAAACTACTGTCACCGCTGGTATTTCTACAGCCACAACACAGGTAGGGTTCAAGCTAATTAACAACTATTAGATCACTGAATGTCATTAATATAGTTTGATAGAATAAGATTAAATAGCTCTGGATATATCTCGCAATCCTATCTAATACCAAGCAAAGCTTGTGTTACATGATAATTACTAGATATTTAACAAATTAGATTCTCAACCATCTGTCGGTGAGCCAATGTGTAAACCATTATACTAACAGAGTTGTAATATATGATATAACTGCTGTTGTAGTATGTTTGTTATCCTGATTTTTACAATTATATGCAGTCATTACATGATCATTTATTTACAGTCTGAAAGTAGAAAGTATTTAGTACATAATACTTTCTACTTTCAAACACTAAATATTAGAAATGTATAACATAAATGTTATACAATTATATGACATTTTAACGTTTGTAAGAAAGCTTTTATGTTGTATAAATATGTGTTATTTATTACTCATTAATAGAGTGCAGTAACCAGGCGAGGCGTTGTGCGTGTACTGAGCCCGGCAGCGTCGGCGGGGAAGTCGCTTATATCGCCTAGAGCGCTTATGCAGCAAGGTATATATATATCCTTACTAATATTATAAATGCGAAAGTAACTCTGTCTGTCTGTCTGTCTCGCTTTCACGCCAAAACTACTGAACCGATTTAAATGAAATTTAGTACGCAGATAGTCTAGACGCAGAGGAAGGACATAGGCTACTTTTTAATGCGTAAAAATGGAAATACAAGGTTATCTTTATGCGGTTGAATCCTTATTCGTCATCTTTTCATTTCACTAGCTAACAACCAATCAACACATCGCGTGCGTTTGCGCCATTCGCCATCTTTTCATTTCACTAGCTAACAACCAATCAACACATCGCGTGCGTTTGCGCCAATAAGGTATCCATCACAGAGAACAAAACCACAGATAACATAATGTAAAACGAAAGATCTTGCCGGAAACATGACGTTGACGTTTAGTGAAAATATTGTTTTTTGACACTTTTTTATGATAAAATCGTATATCGTGTGTATGTGTTTTTTCTTTAAACCTGAAATTGGCCGATTCCGAGATATATGGGGTTTTTTTTTTATTAATTTGTTTTACGGCTCTGGATACAAGCCCAGTTTAGCCCAACTTAAAGTTTTACAATATAAATTACAAAAATTAAAGTCAATGTCCAATGTTAAATAATAATAAATGTCAAATGTTGTTTCCCTGTTCTGACAAACTTAAAAAAAAAAACTTAATAACAATCACAATTTCTTCACATTTTATTATTTACATATTTTTAAGAATGTTGTGGTGTGGCACTATCCGAAATTAAATTATTTACCCATTTTTGTAGGTTATACAGAAATAATGTGTGGGTGTTTATTTAAAAAGCATTAACACAAAATGAATAAAGTATAGGTATTAATAAATACATGGTTGTTGTATCTAAATAGAATTTCCTTATTTTTCACTAAAATAAAAACTAACTGTCTTTTTTATAAAATAAATGACCTTTTCATTGTGCCATATATTATGGAACTATTTAAATTATTTAGCTGATTGTAAGAAACAAAATGTTGGTTTGTAGATTAATACTGTAAAATTATTATTTGTACGGAAACGATAAAAATATATTTTTGTGCTGCGGCAAAAACTAATATTATAAATGTGAAAGTAACTCTGTCTGTCTGTCTCGCTTTCACGCCAAAACTATTGAACGATTTGAATGAATTTTGGTATACAGATAGTCTAGATCCTGAGAACGGACATAGGCTACTTTTTAATGCGAAAAAAGGGTTGTAAGGGGTTAAAAGGGGGGATGAAAGATTGTATGGAAGAATCGTCATTTTTGAAGCTAGAAACTTGAAACTTATTTTTGAGACTGTTGATTAAATATATTATAAATAAAAATGACATTCAATGTTTGTAAAAAATTACCCTTAAGGGGGTAAAATAAAATAGGGGATGCAAGTTTTTATGTAAACACGTCATTTTTGAAGCTAGAAGCTTGAATCTTATTGTTGAGACTGTTGATTAAATATAAATACATATGACATTCATTGTTTGTTAAAAAATTACCCTTAAGGGGGTAAAATAAAATAGGGGATGCAAGTTTTTATGTAAAATCGTCATTTTTGAAGCTAGAAGCTTGAAACTTATTTTTGAGGCTGTTGATTAAATATAAATAAATATGACATTCATTGTTTGTAAAAAAATTACCCTTAAGGGGGTAAAATAAAATAGGGGATGATAGTTATTATGTAAATTCCTAATTTTTGAAACTAGAACGATGAAACTATTTTCATTGGTTCTTTTGGGGTAGATTTTTATCTTTCTGTCAGTCTTACCAAAACAAAATAAAAATTTAAATGAAATTTGGTACACAGTTAGTTTATACCCGGACAAAGAATATAGGGTACTTTTGAATGTGAAAAAAGGATTGTAAGGGGGTTGCAATGGTACGCTGTATGGAAGAATCGTCATTATTTAAAACTAGAAGTTTGAGACTCATTTTTAGGCTGTTGTTTAAATATCAATAAATATGACATTCAATGTTTGTAAAATTTTTACTCTTAGGGGGAGGGGGGGTAGTAAAATAAAATAGAGAATGAAAGTTATTGTGGAAATTTGCTGTTTGTGTGGTTGTGGAAGCTAGAACGATTAAACTTTTTTCTTTGTCTTTTTAGGGTTAGTTTATTAAATACCTTACTGATATTATAAATGTGAAAGTGTTTGTCGATTTAAATTGAAATTTGAAACAGACATAGATAGACTAGATCCTGAGAAAGGACATAGGTTACTTTTTAATGTGAAAAAGGGTTACAAGAGGATTGAAAGGGTAGATCCAAGGTTATATAGATGTATCGTCATGTTTAAAGCTGGAAGCTTAAAATTTATTTTTTAGCCTATTGATTAAATATTTATTTTTATTTTTTATCATTTTTTTAAGCTAAAATGATGAAACTTATTTATTTGACTTCATCATCGCAGCCCGGAAGACGTCCACTGCTGGACATAGGCCTCCCCCAAAGATCTCCACGACGATCGGTCCTGCGCTGCTCGCATCCAATGCCTTCCAGCGATCTTGACCAGATCGTCGGTCGGTTATTTGACTTATATTGTGTTAATCGAGTTAAATATTTTTTCATTATTTACGCGGACGAAGTCGCGGGTACAGCTAGTATATATATAAAGCGGTTTATATATAATAAAGCGAAGTTTAATACCTAATATTTTTAATGCTAGTGGATTGGCAAAAAAACTGATTCCCCATTTGTTGAATTGTCATATACATATCATTATACAAGTGTATACACGGCATCTAACGACTGAACCTTGCTCTACATGCGTGATGACTATGAAGGTATACCACTTAACTCATCATTATACAATGAGTTAATGATTTTAACTAAACATAAACATTATTAATATAGATTAAAACTAAAAATAAGTATTAGGCAAACAACTGCCGCTGACATAGTGCGCTAATTTAACATGAATGATTATTTTTTGTTATTAATTAAATAGAATATTCATGATTCTTTTGTTTCCTATCAGGCATTACAACGACTAACAAGAAACGTGTCACTGTACCCAACACTGCTTCTGTTACTACTATAGCCCAGGTATTGTTTGTGCTGTATCTTAGAAAATAATTTCATTAGAAATTTCTAGAAATAAATAATTATATATATACTAATTCTTCAAACAATAATATAGAACACTTATTTAATAACTGAAGTTGGTAAACATATACGGTCTTATTACAAAATTTCTATTAAAACTCGGACGAAACGTGGTCTAAATGGTCGAGGTTTAAACCATTCCTAAAGTTAATACTTGGAATAAACCTAACATTATTACGAATCCAGATCTAACAGAGGACTACTTAGTACTACAGTTAAATCGTTCATTATGTATTACATACAGAAATCAGTCACTCATGTCTGTTAGCGTACAATTACGTTCCGTTTTACCAGAAAACTGAAAAGATCAAAAATAATATTACTTCAAATAAAAATGTATGAACTAAAAATAAATTTATTTCTATTTATCTATGTCTTCATTATAACTATTTCATTAATATATAAATATTTGTTAATGTACTATTAGGCTGAAAATCAGTTTTAAATTACAAGTAGGAGTCCTACACGGAGAAAAGGAACGGCGGGATATTTTTATTGGATCGATGCGAATGGTGACTATTTCAAAGTCAAATGAGTGAAAAAATAACAAATACCGTCTTTTATATATTTTTATTATCGTAAAATTAGCTTTAAATGTTTTTAGTTAATATATTTTTAATTTAATTAAAATATTTTTCGAAAAACAACAACTTAAAATACAATTTTTAAAATGTAGTTTGATTTTTTGCATTTAGACCACTGTTAAACTAGGGGCATCGCAGGTCTAACTTTAGACCATAGACGAATCACGATTTAGAGATAAACTTCATTTTGTAATAAGGAATACATTGGTGAATGGTTTATTACTAGTGCTAAACCAGGTTTATCTTTTTGTAATAAGGCCGATAAAGATCATAAATGTACCATTATTAAAAATAATAAATTAAGAGAAGTATTTCATATGGAGGCCAACCAAGGGTGCTGATGTCACCTTATAATGTTCTTCTCAACAAAACATAAGATTTTATTCGAATCACAGTGTGAAACCTGTCATTTGTACCTACTGTAACTCCCTGTGTAATTGTGAGATTTTTTTTTCTTTACAGAGTACTGCAAGTGTGACGAATGTCGTTAGCAGTGTGCCCACAGTGGTCACTTCGACGGTTCCAACAAGAACAGTGCAGCTGGCGGGCGGGCGTACTGTACAACTGGCTTCAAATCAAACCGTTCACCTTCCTGGCGGTCAATCAGTCCAACTGAGTGCTGGCCATACACTACAGTTATCTTCTTTACAACTACCCACTCACAGTGTCCGCCTCCCGAGCGGGCAAACTGTACAACTAGCATCACCCCCATCTGTACAAACAGTGCGAGCTATACCCACTACGAGTAAAACTCAAAACCAGCGACCCCAACAAACCGTGTCTGTACCTGTTAAGAATATACAAACCAGTCAGTCTACAGTCCAAATACCTGTCTCCACAGTTCAGTTGGCCGGCCAAACCGTACAAATTGCAGGCCAAACTGTTCAACTGGCTGGGCAAAGTGTACAGTTAACTGGTCACACAGTTAAATTACCTAGTGGACAAAGTGTACAAGTTGCTAGCCAAGGAGTTATACCGTCGCAAAGTGTTCAATTACCTAGTGGTCAAACAGTGCAATTGGGGACTGGTAACGTCCAGACTATGCAGTTAGGATCAAATGTACAATTATCAAGTGGTCAAAGTGTTCAAACACAAAGTGCACAGAGTATACAGTTAGGATCCCAAACTGTGCAATTATCCGGCCAGACTGTGCAATTAGCTGGCGGTCAAACTGTCCAGCTGCCAAGTGGGCAAACTCTGCAGTTGTCAAGTGGGCAGACTGTACAGTTATCTAGTGGACAAACTTTACAATTAGCTAGCGGTCAAACAGTACAATTAGCTAATCAACAGACACCAAAGCCGATAGCTCAGGTTGTCAGAAGTCAAGCATCGGCGGAGAAGCCAGCACAACCTATTGTCGCAAAATTGTTAACTAATGCTCAGGTGAGACATTTACATGTACTAGAGATGTCCTTAAAAGACATCAGATAATTTCGTCGATACGGTTTAAAATACTAGTAGCTACATATGACTATACTGGCGACCCATCTCGGCTTCGCATGATTTGACATTTTTTACACCTAGGTTTACATTTTCAATATTTGAGTAAGGATAATCCGGATAATTTCTTCTGTTTATATATATAGCTTAATTATTTTACGCCAGTCTCTTAATTGTGTTAGTTTATTCGTTACATACATAAAGGAATATAAATTATTCCCCTTTATAATATTAGTTCAGATCAGTATTTCTTAACTTGTAGTCTGCTAGCCCCGGGTCCACGGTCCCATCCCGTGTCCATTTCTATTAATAAATAAATGCAAGCAAGTCTCGTAATCGTTACGCACAGCATGGCGAGACTAATCTAAATTATCTTAAATTTTTTTATTAAAAAAGAGGAATAAATGTAATACAATTTGAGAAGGGGGGGACCATGGTTGTGCTCGATTTTCTAGGGGACCGGGGATTATTTATTTCAGGCTACTCATGGCTAATATTATAAATGGCTTATAGACTAAGATACATATTTTATAATAATATGTAGTTAAATAAATATGATGAAACGGCTCAGGTAAATAAAATGATAGTCGCTGAGTGTGTCGTATGTGATCCGGTGGTTGTAGGGTCAGATGATCTCGTTGGAGGGCGTGGTGGGGCCGCGCCTGCAGCAGCTGCAGCAGCTGCAACAGCTGCAGCAGCTGGCGGCGGGCGGCCGGCCACGTGGCGCCGTGCGGGTGCTGTCGCCGGCGCGTCCGCTGCTGCTCACACACAAGCCGCTCCACAATATCATATTGCAGGTCAGACACCTCAACATTAACGGTTTAAGGATATGTGTGTGTACACGTCACACACGCATTTTAGTGTTTAGGTATATGACCTACTTCGTCGAGAACTTGGAAGCTGACGTCGTCATAGTTTCGATCCTCGTCTGAATTAGTTGGGACTCGGAGGGATTATTTAAGAGCATCCCTAAGATATTTTGAAGTATAGTAAGTATAATTTAATAGTTAAAATATTACATTAACTGTGTTACAGCAGAGCGATGGGAGTGCTATACGTGTGACATCAAGCGGTGGCGCGGCGACTTCACAAACTATAGTATTAAGTAATATTGGTAAGTAAAAAGTGTGATTTATAAATTTATTACCAGCATTATAAAGCAAAGTTTACTTAAATGGAAGAAAACATTTTATGAAACAATAGTTTCCTATTTGTAAAGTACTTCAAAAGTTTTACGTAAGTACTTTTTTTTTGTAAAGTATTCAATTTTATGAGCAAATATATCTAATAAACATACATACTTGTAATAAATATACATATATTATTTTCTTATTAGTGTGTATATATTTTGATTTTTCTCATTGTCCGCATATAATATGGCATGTTCAGATTTTAGATACTGACAATGTACCTATTGCTACTACTACTACTACGAATCTTGAACAAATAATTTTGAAGTAATTGAAAAAAATAAAAGTGATGAATATAAATAATATGATAAGTATGAGTATACATATGGTTACTAGTCTTGCCAAAACAGTCTCGTTGTCAGATAAAAGTTTTGTCACGTTAATTACCAAAATATACCATATGTATACTTTGTACAAAGTGTATCTCTGTTTTACCTATTTTGCCGACGAGTAAGCTATGATGATATACCAGTGATTACGGGATACCGAGATATGTCACATTCTTCCGAAAAGGCATGTATCCGTAACGCTCTCCATGTATATTAGGGTTGCCATTTATTTTTAATTTATTTAATTCATTCATTGCCCACGTTACCTAGGATATTAATATAAATTGTCTATGTGGTCTTGTCTATTTGCGACGGTAGCGCCGATATACCACACCCTTCGGCCAGTAGTCCTCCTTGATGAATGTAGGTAGCATGTTGGTGGGGACCCAGGCCAGAAACGCATTGAAACTTGCGTCGTGACTTGACTCCAGCTGCGTCACTCTCAATGTCAGATTACTCCTGGTCCATATGTAGTAGACAATGTCCTGTTCCTCTAGCTTGTTTGCTATTCCAGTTGCATAAAATATAAAAAAAATATGTCGACAGGAGGACAATCACAAGCGGCTACAACTACCACAACAACAACACCAGTATTAAAATTGCAACAAGTAAGTTCACAGAAATATATAAAATTTTACCTTCAGGGGATGTTGCGTACGAAATAATTTTACATACGCTATATGTACGCGTACGCTATGTCCTTTCAACTGTCAGCTGTCAAAATAATATTAACGCTTCATCTGTGAGACCAATTAAAGGACTTCTCACAGAATTAATTGTTTTCTCTCAGGTTTGGGTTCTCATCTGTGGAGAAACCAACAATTTTTGAGACTGAGCTTTCATAAATTATTGGATGCTCCATAGATGCGGCTATAGTGTCCGTGTCCAATAATTGACTCTTTCGCAGATGAGAGGATATTTTTATGTGAATTATAACGGAATATTGTAATTTCCATATTTAATTTTTTTTTGTTTTATTAAAGCTTTGTTGTTTGATGTAAAAATTTTGCATCTGCAACATCCCTATGACTTAATAATTCAAAGGTAGAAAAGATATTTCAAGATATCATTCTCCTTATATTTTAGGTGAATCCAATACAGCAGGTTAAACTCGCGCAGGGAATTAAAATACAGGTGAATTTGAGTGCGCATGCTTTTAGAACAAACACTTTACTAACGTGTGAAATTTATTTAAGTATGTCCAGTCTTTGCTCAGTATAGCAAAGACTGGACATACTTAAATAAATTGCTTGGGAATAATGATTTCTTGGATGCGCATAATATCTTCTTAATATATACTTTATTAAATATATATAGTATATATTTATTTATTGGTTGACGTCCTATTTAATTTAATTGATTTTCGACTAGGAAAATAAAGAGTTATGTCCACTGAATATATTTTTAAAACTAGTCAAGTATATTTTATCCATTACATATATAAATATTATAGTTTTCCTCTTTTTAATATTAGATAGATGTCAGTGCATATGTACTGGAGTTGTGACTAGAATGGTGCGTCAATTTGTAAATACATATATGTTTTAATACTTAGATAAGGCAGAGTTTTCTATAATTATATACTAACCTTTTTATATAACTATATTGCAAGGATCTTAACTTTTACTATCTATAATTTGTGATATTATCGTGTATTTAGCATGATGTTCATGACAACTTAAAAAAATAAGAATTAAAAGTGAATGATGAATTATTTAATCAATACGAAACAATCTAATAGTATTATTATGTATTAATATATTATATTTATGAAAATATGTAGTTATGCCGTTTTAACGTCACATTTCAACAAAATTTGCGTAACATGCCTGGCATGTTCGAAAAAGTTACTAGCTGGTTTAAGATGGGCACAAATTTGGTTTTATGCGTGCATTTTGAATCCCGTTTATTAGATTATGAGTGACATTTTGTAAATTGAATGCATTATAATATAACAGGGCACCAGTGCGAGTGTGCCCACATCCAGCGTTCGCAGCGTGCTAATGGACGGTCAGCAACTAAAGCTTGTTGGCGGTCGTCACGTCCTAGCCAGGATACTGCGGCCTGCTCATCCTCCACCCTGATTCTAAGACTAGTTTTGAAGTTACTTTTATATAATCTGTATGAGATAAGGAAATTTGATACTCGTCTTTTTTGCGACGTCATTAAATATATTTTTAATATAGAACTTATTGTTCAATTAAAAAAGGTATTAATTCTGTTGGTTTTTATGTCTTTCTTAGGCAGATGAACTGTTTTGTACAAATTTTGTATTCTGTATCGCAGGTGTGTTGCAACGCATGTAAATAAAATTTGTACTTCTAATTTTTTGGCTAATATAGCGTTATTTACAAAGAAATTCTAATGCAATTTAGTTTATATTATCTATATAATATGTATGATATAATTTTAACCGTGGACACATGTTTAAAATTCCTTTCGTACGTGTAGTAATATATTACTTTTATACCTTGTCGCATGAAACGTTTTATAAATTTATATTCAGTAGAAAATATTATTTCTAATATTAGTGTGACATAGCATCTACAAGCTTTTATATATTTTTGTACATGAGAGCAACACAATGTTATTTTATGAAAGCATGGGTCAATATCAGCCAATGCATAGAAATATCTTTTACTCTATTTTATATATTTACGCTTCTGTCAATTTTTTGAAACAAGAGAGATAGTGAGGTGAGCTTTGAGTGTCTTGTTCATTTTTAATTTTACGGCAGTGTCATAGCGAGTTTATGTTAATGGATTGTATGATTTGTAGAAGAGATTATAATATGTCTAAAGGAACACTTTACACATGCCGGCTGATAGCGATTAGTTTGAAGACTTTATTGACAGCAATATCTCTCTCTCTAACTTTCTTGTTTGCCTGTTACATATATAAAAGAAATATAATACAAATTATTATATTTCTTTTACGACGTTACGGAATTTAACAATAAAAATTATAATCATAGATTTATTGATATTTATAACTCTAAACTAAAAGTTTTGATTTGTGTATGAGTATTATGTACCATCTTCCGTGTTTATGTTATGTTAAGATCAGTTCTGTATTTCCATATCTCTGTATAAGAAATAATTATTAATATCCGTGTGCTTATATGGTGGAAAAAATATTATACACTCTATTTAAGATATTGAAAGAGTTGTTTTACTAAACACGTGATGGAATAACTGAATTATATGTTAATGAAATGAAAAAGAATTTTAAAGAGTACAATTTAAATTTCTACATTCATTTCTTTCTTTATTCGCTCATTTTTTAAACTATTCGAATATAGATATTTCATGCTCGTATAATTTGTAGAAAGACAGACTTTACTTCGATAGTAATATTTCTTAACAATTTCTCAATTTTAAAACGCAGCTACAAACGGAACGTATTGTAAACGATGAATTGTTTAATCATCATATATAAATAAAAATTGGAGATATAATAAAAAGATTTGAAGTTAGATTTTTAATTTGTTCGGTTTTTTATTTATTTATTGAAAAATTACGCTATACAAAATATTTTTTTTAAATTGTTAGTAATGTGATTAGATTATTTTATTGTATATTTTGCAATAATGTGTACATATTTGCATTACTGTATTAGTATTAAAAATATATATTAAGTACTTTGAATTTTTTTTTGTTTGGACATCTCTCCAAAGAGATTAAGAACTTGTACTATTAAACAGAATATAAATGCCAAAATGGTGAATAAATTTTATAAATGTGGTCGATATAGATAATCTTAAAGATACGTCCTCTTGCGTATTTATTTAATGTAAATTCTTTGGAAGGGAGAATAATTACATATTATTAATAAATACTGTAATGTATGAATATCTGAATGTGTATAACACAGGCTCTGTATTAGAAACCAGTTATTATTTTTATTTAATTTATGTTAGATGGAATAAATCAAAGGAATAATTATTTATTTGCATATTATATTCTGTTTGATATTTAATTGTAATATAATTGTTGCATAGGTCTGATGAACACGGAAATAAATCTAAGTCAATTGACACAATGCCGAGTTTTATTTTGTTTAAGTCAATACCAGCCAACTTAATTTTTTCGAGGAGGGGCAAAAACTAATTAACGCCCCCTATATTTTTACAATATACGTACGTATTAAGTTAAACCTTTTCAACTAAGTATTGTTGTTAATTATAATGTATTTTTTAAGTTGTCTTTATTCACACATTTATTGAATACGTGAGTATTCAATAAATTTGTGAATCAAAAACAATCAAATTCTGGTTTTATTTATGAAAATAAAAATCAGAATTTGATTGTTTTTAAAGAATAACACATTTGTCTTCAATTAGAATAGGGAAAATGCATGAAATTCAGATATGAGAACATATTTTTTAAATAAATTTAATTACCAAAGAATTATCTATATATTTTATAATTTCTATTTGAGCCAGATATTAATTTACGACAAAGCTTAATTCCTATACTTCAATTATTTGAAATGCGATGTGAAATGTCCAGAGCAATAGTAGCGTAGAAGGCTACTGCATTAAATTATACTCCTTAAATGTAAGTGTCCCTTTTGTACCTGATGTAGTTTTAAAGTGCACCACGACCCTCTAAATAAAAACTTATAAAATTTTCGACTCATGTCTGGGCTGTGCTAATTTTAAGAAAGTGCATGTTGTGTGCACGATGTGTATGAAGTGATGCTCAGGTTACCTTATAATAACAGACCCAATAATTTAAAATGTATCCCTCTAAAGGTATAAGCTATCTAATGTACTGACTTTTTAAATTGGTCGGATTAACAATATTCCGCTGCAACTTCATAGTAGTATTTTATCGATAGAAATGATTTATGTTGCGGTCATTCGACCTTACTTGATCGCATTTTTTAAATTGAAATGATTTTATATTGCATCACAACTTCAACAGAAACAATTTCATATCGTGTTACATAATTAGCCCACAGATCCCATTTAATTTTCGCTCGCGGCCAGTGGGCAATAGTTTTTGAATAAGGTAGTAGTATCTACAGAGGTTTACTTACTATTTCTTTAAACCTTTGTAACCTGTACTTCACAAAGAAATAATTTGTATTTGAAGTAGATGGAAAGAACTAGAATATTCTACTATGCTAAAAAGAAACGAAGCTGGAAATACTTAAGATAAAATCACTTTCATCCAGAAATAAAGATGAAATCTGAAAATAAATCAGCACCTTTCAATACTAAATCGATCACGTGATCGCATAGTGTGGAGTGGTGCACCCGCCTGAGCTAACGGTCACGGGGTACCAGTGGAGGATGATAAAATGAGCATGAAGTGAGGATGGACAGCTTATCATGTGTCGTCATGTTTTAAAATTTATTATTAAATTTAATTTGGCTTCTTTAGGAAAAAATCTGTTTCATAATCACTATCACTGGTTTTGGTTTTTGGCTTGACGAGTAACCCTGTATATTTAATGTGTAGGACAAAAAATATGATTTTGTATAAAGTTACCTCTCAGCAATAAAAAAAAACAACGCCAAGATTCTTCTTAATTTTATTTAAAAAACCTGGACAGAAAGATAAAGGGAATGTGTTTGAAATTATAAACGTTTTTGGGTGGGAAAACATAATTTATTTGATTAGGTATTTACATGGTGTTAACAGCAAATATGAAATAATCACACCGCTCAAGGCATCCACAGAACGACTAATATATACCATAAAAGCTAACTAAAACTTAACTCTACTGACACACTGTGCTTCGATCTCATATCAAACAAAATAATCATACGATCATTTAAAACATTAAATAGACAATAATATCGCAAGAGTATATTTATTGTTATGAATTTGCCTTCTGTAAGCCTGTAACATTAGTCTTAATTTACTGGCCGCAGCGAAATAATCTAACAAATCATTAAATAGCCTATCGTTGTAAAGGCCTCATCATCCGCAACGGCTGACTCGAGGTAAAAAAAGAATGAGCTTCAACTTAGCATCGCTGCGGACATGTTTTCACAACTCCTAAATACAGGGGAATTATAACACGAATATACTATGAGAGTGCCGTGGCTTAGTGGTGGCTACTCAGGCTTACTCCAAAAGGCCGTGAGTTCGTATCTGGGCGACGCCAAAAAACTTTATTAATTATCCGGTGATGGAAAAACCATTAAAAAACAAACCCATGTGACTATTTATTAAATTTACCTACTGAGCGAAATGTGGGTGTCAAGTATTGCCTTCACCACGACGTCTATATATGATAACTTACCCATCTCAGATAGCAGTCGTAAAGTTACATTATTATTGTAATATTATGTAAGTATCACAATAACATTTCACCGTTGATATAATTCCCCACCGGTCATTTATAATACATTCATATCATATAGCTAACATTGAAATATATAGTAATTAATATGGATATCTAATTATATAGCACACAGAGACTGGCGGTATCAATATAATTTCAAACGAATAGTGCCGTTACGAAAAAACATATTTCATTGCAAAATAACCACTGTCACACATTACAGAGTTACATTACGTATTATTAATAAAATGTAATCGCAAAAACTTTTAGTTTTAGTAGTATCATTGAATAAATATTACTACACATACAAAGATCCCAGTATAAAATATTATAACAACGGAAAAAAGTATAAAAAGAAGGATATATATTCATAGATACGTACGTAATGCCTCTCGCGGACTTTTATCTAGTCGAGCGAAATCATACAATTCGAAAGGCCATAGTTTCGCGTAGAAGGTGCGGGTTTAATTCAGCTTGTATTGTTTTTTTAATGACTCGTTAAGAGTTTTGATTATTTATATATTTATAAATAAATATTTTAACATTAATTTGTGACATTCGTTATTTTGCAATGAGCATAAAGCTAATAAATGCAAGTTGCTAACAATCGTCATCGATCCATAACATTGCAATCCTATCTCAGTCTTATACCTATATTAAAATGATTGGAATATGTAATTAAAGAGAATATTTGAAGTTATAATAAATTTCAATTACGTCCAAACATATAGTAATAACATTACACAGAGATTGATATTTCATCTTATCCTATTCAGACTACATCAACAAAAATAAATGTCTATTATGAAGATTTATAATACCACAGGGTCTGTTAATACTGACGAGTCATAATATTGAACTTGGGGGGAAGGGGATTGTTAGTAATGTGGATTGATAACCCCATCGCTGGCTATGTACCATGTCAGGTTGACCTCCACGCGGTTCCCCCTGGAAACCATCGTGTTAAATTCCTGGTGAATTTGTCAGAATGGGCTAACTGACCTGACCTCATGCTCATCTTATCATCCTCCACTGGTGCCCCGCCAGCGTAAACCGTTAGCGCAGGCGGGTGCAACATTCCATTATCATCCACAAAAAAAAATATCGAACTTTCAGAGATATGATATAGGTATCTACATTTCATGGACATTACCAACCGACGTATCTACATGAATCGGTCAGTCTAATTATGTGCCTTATGGTGCCATTATAAGATTGGGTTTTCTTTGAATGACGAACACCAACTTACAAAAAGTATTGTGTATCCTTAGCATTTTAACAGAACCTAGTTTTTAAATTTAAGAACATAGGTAATTTAATGTCTCCATAAAAGTCACTAGCAAGCTCATTAGGGCACTACTATCTAATTATATGTCTCGTTGCGACGGTATATGACAATCGTAAATACGTTGTAGATTTATTTATATGTAACAAAAATAATTTTAGCATTTTTGGAATTTGACACATATAATACCTAATTTACCTACAGTCGATTTACTATTGCGTTTACAAAATATACTTACATATTATATCGTATCTCTGAACATCAGGAATCCGACTAGAGGCCGACGCATATGCGACGGGCTACCGAATCGTACATATATACAAACAATAGGCACTGAAAGTTTGAAATATGATCGGTACTATAAGACGAACACGCAGTTCTTGTAATATGGTTGCATTCAAGAAACTACAGTATAGTTGCTAAATCATTATAGGAACATGGAATGCCTAATGTGCGCTCATGTTATTCCTTCGAAAATGTTACTTGATGTCGTCGTAAATAGTTTTTTTTTTAATTGGTGGAGCGTATTTAAGTGCAAGCATTCGTTCAACATAGAATATAATTGTAGGTACTTCCTTCTTCACAGGAGAGCAACTTCTTGCATACATGTACATGAGATATTCTGCGTTGAGCTCTTAAGCTATAAGCGGGATACTAGTTGGCTCATTCTTCTGCATCTTCTGGATTCTCAGCTGTTAACAAGTTAGTGTTGTCGTCAGCTTGTAGATCAGCAGTCAACTTCTGGAACAATGGCCGTATGATGTATGATTGTAGTTAAAACATATTTATGCCCATTATGATTGTACTTGTGGACCGAATCGAGGCCGATTATGACGACGTTATTCCTTCGAAAATGTTACTTGATGTGTCAAAGTAATTTATAATAAGGAAATAGACCCAGTACGAGACATAAAGTATGTATTATCTTCGCTGAACTTAATTTGATCCACAAGGAAATTTTTGTCCTGATTTAGTTTCATTTAAACATTATCTTTTATTTTATTCGACTTATTATGTGTCGACTAGGTACATAAAGTGCATGTGTGTGTCTAATATATAGAATATTATAGAGACTGTCTATTCCACTATCAAAGAAACTCGGGTAGTAGCTGCCGACACTACCTACTTATTCATTTGTATCACTACTGTTTTAGTTGCAAATCTTCTTTACAAAAATTAGTTATATTCTTTGACGTAATAATTATCTTAAATTATAAATTATTTTTTGTATTAATTGATCTTTTCAAACATACCCCTATTTGTGCAGTTGCCACATGTGTCCTTTTGCGACGTTTTACAGCCAACGCTAGAAGCAGTACCAAAGCGATTGACGAGAGGGCCGCCACCAACAACGGCAGCAGTAAGTTGTCTCCTGGCGAATAACCCTGTACACAAGCAAATATTACTTATTAGAGGAAGACTGTTTCATGACTTCCGTCGCTATACCTATACATGAACAGCACTTCGGGTATTACATTTACCAGATATCTCGTTGAAATAATTTATAATACATTTTGGCAGGAATATGCTGTGAATTTAGCTATAATATTGTATTAAAAAAATACATATACCGTCAATTTGCATGGTTCATATACATCACATCATTAATATTTGGTGTTCAGAATTATGGAGTAATAATTTATTAATAATATTCGGTTCTCTCGGTTGAGCCCATTTAAATTACGAGACGAAATGTTTCTAAGTTAGTACGGTATGTTTATTGTGATATAAACAAATGCAGAAGAAGGTGTCTAAAAATGCATTATTTTTTTATCAATTTGGTTTAGCTTTACGCTTTAATTATCAGAAACTTTTAAAAATTGTTCATAATCAGAAAAAAATCATTTCTATATAAAATTGCGTCTATATATGGATCAATGATATTTATTAAGTAATCTATCGTAAGCGAGCATTACGGGGCCTGAATATAGTGAAATTCACATGAAACGGCCATCATTTCATTATCCAAGTTTTTGTTATCTGAACTTTATTTGTAATTTAATTTTGAAAATATGGTGCATAACTAATTAATATCATTTTTATCTGAAATAATATCGTATTGTGCGTAAGTTTACAACTTCACAAAAAATTTTATCTTATTATTTGCATTTATCATAATTACCACTTGTTACGTAAGTAGATACATATTATTTTACGTATGTTCTTATTTCTATACTAAGAGGTATCTACACTTGTGAATATATTAATAATATACCTTATTCGTAAGATAGCGTCTATCAGCAGATGTTTTTACTATTATATGAAGAGATAGGCACTTACTCATTATATAATCCGGGTAACATATGTGCTTACCGTCCATTGGAAGTACGACGAGGTGTCGACAAAAGGCCACCTAGCTCCATACCATTCACTATCACCAGCTTTGGAAATGGTCACTTCATCAGAATCAGTGCCCGGCACTGAGGAATCAGGTTTTGAAGGCGGCAGTGAGAAAACTTCATCTACTTCTAAAGATTCTTTGAATTCGTCGTCATCATCTACTGAAAGTATAGTGTCCTTTAAGTCTTTGAGGTTTGATTTTTCGCTAGTTGTTGTAAATTCTGTGGTCACTGGAGTTCTTGTAGTAGTTGGTTTTGTAGTTATTAAAACGTCCTCGAATAATTTTGTCTTAATGGTAGTTGACTTTTCTGAAGGTGGAAATGAGCGTGACAAATATTTGAATGTATTGTGTAAAGTGATGGTGTCGGGTGTGACACTTGGTCGTATTATTACATCTTTGTCCCAAGGCTTCATTGACATGTAATTGTCAAGTAAACGGATACTACCAGACGGCGTACCTATAAGAGGTATCTCTTCATTTCCTTCTGTTGGTATCGGCTGGACTGTTGTCGAAGATATTAAAGTTTTCCAAGAGTTTAAAGGTGGGACAATCCAAGGATGACTTGTTGTCCTCTCATTTATAATTGTAGAAGAAATAGAAGTAGTTGATGAACTGGTAGTGGACGCAGCTGGAGTAGTACCTATGGTTTTTTCCAATTTTGATACAAGAATTGATCCGGGTGAAATCTTTAATTCCTTTTTCCTCGATTTAGCTATTTCACGTCCTGTTGGTGCTAAGGGGGCAGAAGTAATTGTTTCATGTTGATTTATTTGACTCCTTCGGGTGTACAAAGCTCCATTCATAATATATAGTGGAACGGAAGCTAGTGCGAGAGCGACAATTATTCCAAATATTATGAGCAATACATATTTCACTGTAGATTTTCTTCGTGACCGTCGAATATGGATTGAAGGGCTGTAGTCTCTACCTTTACCTTTTAGGCCACTATTATTAAGTACCTCCTCTGTTTGCGGGAGAATGGTGTACTGGAGACTGTTCTCGCCATGTCTCACTGTCTTATACATGTTAGCTGTTACTATATATCACGGAAAAAATCACTATATTCTCTAGTTACACGTATCTTTATGACATGCTCTTGTTTTTCACTATGCAGACATAACACAGACGCGAATGTCTATCAGCTACGCGGTCCATTAATATCGATATGGCTGAACATGAGACATGGTTGTTTCTCTTGCTGTGAAAAGCGTTGTTACTTAGCTTTTTGATGGTAATGTATGTGCGCATGCGTGACAACATTGAGCGGCTGCGCGCTTCTCTATAACTTGGCAGTTAAGCGACCCCAAGCTTTGAGGTTATGATTAAGACACCGGCTTCAGTCTTCTATTGTATCATTTGTTAATAACAAATGAACTATGTACTAACTAGTCATCGGAAAAAATATTTTATATACTACATATATACTTTACTAGGTACTTCTCTTGTATTTGAGAAAATTTAATATAGAGAAATGTTGCTACAAAGCATAAAAATAATATTTTTACACATTTGGTATCGATTATTGTTTGTCAAATTTTTAGAATAAAAATAATAGTTTACAGCCAATTCCATACAATTTATTTCGTTAATTTAATGGGTTTAGAAATGCATAAATTTTTATTGCAGAATATTATATCTCTATTGTTTTATTCTGTCTGTGATTTCATATACATGACTAGAATATATAAATTCCCTGACAGATCGTAGCCATGTGGATACAATCACGGACACAACATTTATAATGGTATATTGACCACGATGGAATGACTAACCTGATATCATTCTCATCCACTAGCACCTCGTTTACACCATTAGCGATGAACGGCGTGTGCACAAGGGCACAATGCCTTACTTATCAATAAAAACAATTTTTTAAATACAAAATTATGTCAATATATCAAAATAAATACCAGATACAAAATTATGTCAATATATGACATAATTTTGTATTTATTGTACCTATAAATAATGTTATATTACTTAAGTAGATACTTATAATATTCTTCATTGTATGTACATATAACCTAAATAAGTATAGTTGAAGAGCTCGTATTCAGAGTAATTATTGTTTAGTCATAAGAAAACTGGCTCCCTGAAATGTAATACAATGAATCAGCTTATGTCTCGGATTAAGTTTCTGCATAAATTACTATCTGTTACATGGTTCACATTTCTCGATAAGCAAAAGAATGTATATATAAAAATAAGTTTGGTACCTAAAGTACCTATATATAATTTTAAGAGGGTAAAGTTATTTATTTATAATCACCGAACGAGAACTTTGTAAATAGTTTTTTAATTGTATCTGTCCATACTATATATAATACTACAAATGCGAAAGTGTGTCTGTCTCTCTTATGTCCTTTATGCGACTGATGAATTAATGAAATTTTACATAAAGATAGATTATAATACGAGGAGAAACATAGATTATCTTATATTCTCAAAATATAATCTACAAGGGGATCAATAGGGACTGAAAGTTTAGGAGAATAGGCAGCGGGTATCACCTGGTGTTTTATATTTATTTATATACTATCATTGATTATACATTCATATAAAATATCTCTTCGTTACTGTGAACCATAGGTAACATAATAGTACATACTGTAAATTAAGTACCTACTTTTCTCGGTCTAGAAAATGTTTTTCTCGAGTTCTTTATTCGGTACTACAGACTGCGGGTAACTAAAGATTCTTTTGTTTCAAGCTGTTTTCGTGTTCCTTTCCTCTTGTCGACGGTTTTGTCTTTGTGTCTGCGGTATTGTATCTCCCACAAAAGGTAAGTCTTGTGAAGGTAGATAGTTAGGGTTCAACTATTTAAAGGTATTATGGAAATTATAAATGCTTAAATGGATCATAACGGAGGTGGAAAAATATATATGAATCAAATATTCTTACTCACGGGTGTTACAATGTCTAATATTTTGAATATTATGTTATGTGTTTAAGTATCTTTATATATTATGTGCTGTGTTTAAGTTTAGTATACTTACTTAAACACATCACATAATATATTATACGAACGAGGGTTACCACTATCAGGTTGGCATTTTATTTATTATTCTAGTTATAGAAGATAAATATATCACACAAATACGTAATTATTGTAAGCCAGACGCGAATGGCAAGCTTTCCTAATCAAGATGAAAAAAAGAACTCGAGTGTATTAACTAGTTTTTGCGTCCGGTCAAACATCAAATACTCTACACGAATACTAATTCACCTGACCTTGGACAAAATCACGTTTCCTTTCGAAATTGGTTCGTGTATGCGATATTTTTAGAATACAAGTAAAAAGAGAACGGTCGAACAAAATAAAAGGGTTGGTCGAACGAATCGTCCCACTTTTTGTTGGTTATCCACTTTTTTCTACCTCCAATTTAAGACAAGTTTTGTATAACTGTGTGTATTACGTCGATATAATTTTATTTATATAGATATTAATATAATTAAGACTGTCTATAAAATAAAACAAAAATATGTATTTTTGTTTTATTTTATAGACATACAAAGATTAAAATTAAAATAATTTCCGAAAAAATATTGATGTACTATTTCGATGTATAGAAATTATACAACCAAGAACAGGTGATAAAACACACATATAAACGCTTTCATATTAGTTAGGAAGGATTTTTTTATTTGTTATATTCCTAAATGATGAATGTGTGGCATATTTTTTGTTATTTATTGCAATTATGTAACGGTAAATAAGAAACAGATTTGTTTTATTTATATTAACTATCATTTTAAAATAAACTGATGATAATCTCACATTGACAGTTTTTTTATCATTGTTAGAAATATTCAACTACTGTGAAATATTAAATCAACCAGGGAAGTGTACTTTGATATTTGTAATAAATAATTATCTATGTATATTTAATTATACATATAGTAGGAGTGTCTCACCAAAGATTTAAATTTGCGTTTTTAAATTAAATTTACTGATAAAACAAATAAAAACCACATACTTATGTAAACATTTTTTAATAGTGTACGGAAATCAGAATCATATAAGGAAACATTTCCGTTTTCCGGAATCTAATGCCTCCGGTTTTTTATGTTCAAGTAAGAATTGATCAGGAAATATTTTATTCACAAACTTTTTTATCTCCAGTTTTGCTACAATTCTTATTTATCACTATAATTTATCTCTTGTATCTAAGTATCGCATTTACATATTTAATAGCAATATTTAGAATTTAAAACGTATAAATGTATTGTAAAGCAATTAAAAACTATTTTTTTCTAAAATCATTCGCAATATCTACATATCAATTTTAACATAACATTGATCAAATAAATGTCGATATAATATTAGTAAATAAACTATTAAGATATACGTACTTATTAAATTGGAAATCAATTAAAAGCTACGTCAAAACCGGCGGAACAGGCTCATTTTGTTATTAATGTACGCGTAGCAGAAACAACTATCGAATTCGCATCGCTACATGGTGTCGGTTGCAAACTTGTAGTAACTACTTCAATACAAGTACAACCTATAGAACGGAGAAGGTGAACTGGACAATGCAGTAACGTTTATGTGTAGTAGGGCTTCTGCCTAGTACAATGACATCGAAAAAGGTGCTATTTTCGTGTGCTTCTGGAACATGGCCAGCACTGCGGGGCATCGCGTAAATAAACGCACATGACAAACGCACGCTGCGCTCTCTTCGGGCCCATTTCGACTAATTTAGTATTGCCCCGCGGTAGGAAGCTATGTACGGACTATATCGCTAGCACAAAACTCGTTGAAGTTGTATAAAATGTGCCGAGAGATGGAGTCGTTTGAGCGGTCTGGTTTAATAAAGAGATTGCGACATAAATAAGAACATTGTAAAATAATGACCCCATCTTTAAAATAAATTGTTCTGAAGTTCATTTATAATTATTATAACTATTTACTTTGAATTGAACTTTTTATTTTGAAAGATAAACAAACATTAACATTAGATTGCTTTTGTGCAAATAAATTATAATTATTAAATAAATAAATTATAAAAAAAATATCTAACCACATATAGTGAAGCCTAAAGTGCCTACCACAGGAGTAAAGAAACATTCATACGTTGGGTGAGGTCCACAGAAGAATCAATCAGACCTCTACAATCTATATATAAGATTTATAATTTCAAGCGTATAGGGACCCCAGAGACCTAATTCATTTTCATCCTACTAGGGGTCTTAACTCAGCATAAAGTTTTTGAGTTCTATATTTTTGACAAGAATATTTTAATTAAAAATGTCGTAAATGAAGAAAATATATGAGTATCTACCTAAAAATAATTATAATTGGAAATAACCTTCACAACCTTGAGGGTTCAAAGCACATCCTGTCAGTTCGTTTACGACTTTGCCTAAATAAACATTTGGCCGAACACGTGTTAGGCCGGTAATATAGCGAGCCATCGTCCGCCGGATTGCAGCGAGTGAACCTTCTCGTCATAAAAACGCTATTATTGCCAAAAGAATATTGTTCTTTCATCTATTGACAAGAGAATTACACTGAGAGAAACTGAAGTTGTACCAGTACTTTACTACCTGCTGCGTTGTAAAGGCATAGTTTTTATTACGAGTTTTTTCAACCAGCGCTTTCTAAATATTATATTACCTCCTTCAATCCCAGGGACTTTAGATAAGCACTCTCCGTTTATCTTATCTATCCATCCGCAACTTTCTGAGTGTGTCCGAGATAATATCAGATTTGTAGGCTTTCTTGTATGCGTATACGACTATATTATTATTATTTATGTCTCTAGTAAAGTATTTATCTGTGTCCATAAAGATGTAAGCAAATTAATTACACGAGTTTTTAAAAGCATTTTCTTTTGTAATTTAGACTTTTATTAGGACTTTTGTTATTTACAACAAAAGTCCTAATATATGTATATAATTATTAATTATTGTTTGGTATTATTGTGTAATGTATGTTTAGCGTTACCTGAAAGTGTGTTTTGTTTTATAAGTGATTCGGATGATGGATACAATAAAATAATGCCGATCTATCATTTTGGTGATTCTAAGACAGTGACGCATGTGAGTGCATCGCCCGCTCCTGACCCTGGGCTGGCCCAATGCCACGATATATCTGCCATACTTCGGGCATCCAGCCAAGATTTGGACCCTTCCGCATCGTTCCCACATCATCATTCGCCGAAAACTGTACTTGTGAGTACATTCTGATGGATATCGTCAGAAATATCCGTCAAATTT